TGTCTAGCATGGTACAGAGCGCTAAGAGGATACTAGAGAAGTATGTTTAGATGCAGTATCATCTAGTTTAGCAAACATCTGCCTTAACTAGATGATCGGATTTGTCTATAACATGACTTCCTTGAGAGCAGGTCCCATGTCTTATGCCCCACAATACCATACACAAGTAGACATCAAGAGGACACTCAACAATTTCTGATTTACTAGAAGTGTTTCGCTCTTATTTTAAAGGTCTTAGGTTCTCCTCACACACAAACTCCCTGGCCTAGTTTCCAGAGCATGCTGCAACCTCGCTAGAACTCACCTGATCTGTCTTACTTCCCATGGCTTCTCTACGTACATGCTGTACTTTGCCAGCCAGTTTTACAAGTTACCTCTAGACACATCTTATTCATTTGCTAGGGGACCAGAATTTGCCACTCCAAAATATGCCACTTTGGTATGAGGGTTATTTTGAGCTGGAGGCAAATGAGAATCAATAGATGCAGAATGAAGCCTTCCTAGGGCTTTCTTTATCTGACTGAAAGCAGAAATTTCTGAAAAGTGAGGGCTACCATAAATCCCCTCCTTGGAAGTTTGATGGCCATGAAGTAGATGGAAAGCCAACACAGATCTGCACAAACTTTATTCTATTGGTTTCCTCATATATTTACCTTCCCACAGTTTGCTGCTCTTGAAAGTCTAAAACTCTTCTCCTTTGTCACATCTCTACATATTATCATTTTGTTAAGATGCTATATTAGCCCAAGTTCTAACCACTCATTTGAGTTACTTTTCATTGAGGCGTCTCCTGAATGATGTGCACTGTACATGTTAATAAACTGTTTGTTTTTTTCTTGTTAATCTGTCTTTTGTAGGTCTACTTTACAGAACCCCAGCTGGAGAACCTAGGAACATAAAAGAAAAAAGAATTTTTCCTCCCCTACACTCATACTGTTTTACTCTCTTAGAAAAAAAAAAACATTTTTCTCCCCCATCCCCATCAAAATCCTGTCCATCATTAAAATAAGGCTCAGATCCATCTGTTTTCCAAAGCTTTCTCCAACTACATTTACCTGAAGAGTTCACGCCCTCAGAACCCCGGCAATGAGTGGCTATCACTCAGGCACTGTCTTCGGATGCCTATTCTATGGACGTTTGGAACTTTTCTTCAATTCTCTGTTGACACTCTGCTCCTCCAACCTGCCTGTAAACCATTTAAAATCTAGGACTTGATCATACATAAGAAACCCGTACGTAATACCTTAGATATCCCAGAACCTCCCAAGTTGATGACTTCCATTATTGCATATGATTTGCCCCATAAAATGAAGTAATGGTGAAATTCAAAAGCAGTCTTTTACACACAATAATTAAAAAATTTTTTTGAACTCCAATCCATTAATTCATGTGTTAGAAGCACATCAAATCAAATATTTATTGAGCTATGTACCCAGCATTCTGGTAGGTATGGCAGAAAATATGATGGTAGACAGCAGACTCTTGTGAGAGACTATATATACAAAGGGACAATGGCCAGAGCCATATATAAAAATAGAACTCTGACCCACTGTGATCCACAATCTCTGCAGCAATTATTCCAGAAAAGGAACCACAATGTGTGGCAATTGACCCCAAATGGCCAGGACGTGATCAGTAACTGCCAGCTTCCTTAGTTTTTGCCCTATTTCCAATTTAGGACTAACCAGGGAAAGGCAAATAGGCACCCCTACAACCAGAGAGGATGTCTTACATGTGTCTAGTTAGTTTCCTCTAGCCTCTGCCAACAACCTCCAGTGAGGACACACCTGAAGCCTTTCCTTTTTTCTACTATAAAGCTTTTACTCTCCGCTGCCTGCCTTTGAGTCTCTGCTAGATGCAAGTGATCATGCCTGACTGCCTTGCTATAGAGAGCTCTGAATAAGTATCTTTTGCTTGTTCTCATTTCAGTGTTCTTCATTTATTTCTACACTTGGAATTTACAGAATTATTATAGGTGGTTTCAACTATTACCTAGAGGCCCCAAAGACTCATGACGTAGTCATTTGTGATTTTACTAGGGCTTGAATTTGAAACGCAGTCTTTGACACAAGTGTACAGGAGGGTTAGTTAGCTAATGACTGCCCTGTACACATACACAACCTTGCTTTTATGTTCATATTGTGGTATATTTACTTTACAGGGGAAATTATACTCTCTATATTTTGGGGGATTTTTTTTTTGAAGGTGTCACACTTGCTATCTGGTGAATCTTAAGGGTCTACTATCAAGACATTTCAAAAAAAACCTGGAGTGATCAACTTTGAAGAGTAAAAAGGAAGTTAATAAAAATGAAAGATCAACTTTTTAATCCTGTAAGCCTAGGACAATGGGGGTACTGACTGACAGAAATGAAGATGTGGGAGAGGAATTAGGTTTAAAACGTCAAGAGACAGCAGGATATTCAAGTTCATTCAACAAATATTGACTGTCAACTTTGTACTAAGCACTATTCTAGGTGCTGAGGACATGGTGAACAGTATAGCCAAAAATCCTTGCTCTTGCGGAACTTATATTTGAAAATGTAGACACTTGGGGTTTGGTAGGGAGGGAAAGGAAAGATACATGTTTATAAGACTTACTCACACAGAGAGAAGAGTTGAAGTTACTAGATCAGAAGCCAGTTTTCCAAGACTGTGAAATTACTGAGGACTTAGCCTTGGACAAGATATATAGGGACAAAAGAAAGGAATGCCTGAGGTCAGGATGGTGCCACAGCACAGAAACCACACCAAGGTCTGTTGTCACAGAGCAGTCCAGTGGAATTCCTCTCAGAAAGTGCTGGGAAAAATGTTAATGGATTAATCCAGGATTAGAGACTACTTAAAGACAGTCTAGAATTACTTGATGCATTACAAGAATATCACTGCATTGTCCTTTAGTAGATGCTCTGGAAACAGGTGGTAATAATGATAATTTATATTGACATACATTTACAACGTACTATCATTTGCATTATTTAAGAAACAGATAACAGTATCAGCATATTTACAGATGGAGAATTGAGGCACAATAGAGAGTACAATAATCCTTAAGATTACATAACAAATTGTGGGCAGATTAAGAATTAAAAGTTTTCCTGACTCTTAAGGTATTCATAATGCTCTTATTTTTTGTCTATATATGAAAAATGTAGCATAAAAATTCTTAAGCATTTCATTTTTATTTTTTATTTTTTTGAGGAAGATTGGCCCTGAGCTAACATCTGCTGCCAATCCTCCTCTTTTTGCTGAGAAAGACTGGCCCTGAGCTAACATCTGTGCTCATCTTCCTCCACTTTACATGTGGGACACCTCCCACAGCATGGCGTGCCAAGCAGTGCCATGTCCCCACCCGGACCTGAACCAGCTAACCTGGGGCCACCCAAGTGTAACGTGGCACTTAACCGTTGTGCCACCGGGCCAGTCCCTAAAATTCTTAAGCATACGATGAACCTGACTCCTTAAAAGAAGTTAATAAAAGAAAGAAAAGAATAAAGCGGGTGCTGGAATAATTTGATTAATGTCTGAAACCAATTTCCCCTAAGGTAGTAGTTTCAAGTAAATGGTAAAGATTTTTCTATTCTGCATGATAGGTTTCTGAATGATTTATTAGAGGTGCTTGATGCTGATAGTTTACTATAAACTGACTGGATCAACACAAAAAACCTCCATTGGTACTGTTTTATTAGTTATTTGAATTCGTATTCAACAACAGTGAAAGAAGATTTAAAGGTAAGTAATACACTACATTGTGACTAATCTCTTCGCACCATCTGATAAAGATGTTACAAATACACTGGTGGTAGACAACTCCACTAAAATAAACCAGAGTGCTGGCCAAGCCTTTTTTCTTATGGAATATTCAAAAGATGGTTCAGAAAAAAATCTACAGTTAAATAACATTTCTGGAGTTCTTACTATGTGCCATGACTGATCTAAGCCCTTCGCATTTGTAAACTCATGTAACTTTAGCATATATAAAAAAACAGATGGGGCAGGTACTATCTATCATTACGCCCATTCTTTAGATGAGGAAACTGAGGGGCAGGGAGGTGAAGTAGCTTGCCCTAGGGACACAGCTTCTAACTCCAAGAGCTGGGATCTACTTTACATACAAAGGGTTCCAGAAAGAAAAACTTCTCAAGTCCCTTTGCTTTACGGTCCTCTCGAGAAAGGGATATCGAGAGTTTCGTGGCCGAACTTCAGACATGGAATTCCTAGCTCTTGTTCTAGTGCGGGGCCATCGGGAGATTGCGCCACCTCTTTGGTCCTCTGCTCCGCCCCAGCCACCCAGGCCCGCTTCCCTCTCCTTCCACCGCGCCCTGCTTTACTTCTCCCCATCTCCGCTCTTCCCCGGCGACACCTGCGACTCTCCTCGCTCCACGCCCTGCGACCGCCAGGACTGGACTCAGCCCCCCTGCGTCACTCCGGAGAGGCACCCTCCCCCGGTCCGCCGTCGCGCCGCCGTGACGTAACTCGCGCGCCGCCGCCGTCGGCTCGGGGGGCGGGGCCGCGGGGCTGGCAGGCAGGGCTGCAGGCAGGCGCGGGGGCGGGGGCGGGGGCGGGGCGGGGGCGGGGGCGGGGGCGGGGGCGGGGGCGGGGGCGGGGTCGGCAGGCTGGCCGGGGCCGGGGCCGGGGCCGGGCCGGGGCGGGGTCGGGGGAGGGGCCAGGGGCCAGCTCTCGGCCTCCGCGGCCATCGCTGCCTGCGCTGTCGCTTCCCCTCGCCCGCTCCCCGCCCTCCCGGGCCGAGCGGAGTAGGGCGGCGTCGGCAGCGTAGCCTCGAGGGGCACCGCGGCTTCAGGGGCTGAGCCTCCAGCGCGGCGCAATGTCAGGCGCCGCGACAGCTCTGTGAGTCCGGGGCCGCGGCCGTGGCGCTGGGCGGCGGCGGTTCTGGGCCGGTCCGCTCATGGTGCCGCCACGACGCCATCGCGGGGCAGGAAGGCCAGGTAGGCAGGCAGGGGAGGGCCCCGAAGTCACCTGGAGCCACAGCGGGGACCGAGCGCCCACGAACGGCCCCACCTCCCGCCCTTGGTGGCAGCCGAGGTGTCTTGACCGAAATGGTAACGGTCTCCACGGGCGGAGTGAGGGGGAGGCTGACAGGGGCGTGCGAGCCCGGTCCGGACTCTGGCGACTGGGGAAGCTTCTCGGGCGCCGCCGCCCTCGGGCTTTATCTCGCCTCCCCGGGAGGCGTCACTGGCTTAACTTTTTTTTCCTCCAAAGGAGGAGGAGGAGGATTCCCTTTAACAGCTGTTTGCTCACCACCCTCGTGAATTACTATTTCGATCTGAGAGAACTAGATGTAGAGACCGGGGGTGGGGGGAGCGCGGAAGAGCCTGTTCCTTTACCACGTGAGGTGATTGGAAACGTGTCCCCGAGACTCACAACAAATCACCACTTCTCAAATAACCAAACTCCCCTCGAGGAGATCCGGGACAGAAAAGAGACTTAGAGGCGCGTGTCTAGACGCTGTCCCCCGGGGTGGATTCCTCCGGCGAGAGAGGCAAAGGGAGTAACTCGGAGCAGCTTTTTTCCAGTAGTTAACTATTCTTAAATATGCCATCTGTTGAATATTGCTTTTTTTTTCTTTGTGCCGTGTACGTTTCTGAGTATAAAGTCTGCCATGGATGACATGAAAGCCTAGAGAAAAGTGTGAGTTATATTTAAGACACTTTGGTATTTTTCCTTCATTTGCGATCATTTTGAAGATGAAGAGTAAAAAAGATGTGATGAATCCTATTTTGAGTGGTTGATATTTTCATTAGCCTCCTTTTGTGGTTGTTTATAGGTGTGCTGAGTTCGTCACCTCCTTTTAGACTCAGATTTGCGAAGTTTTCAGGCATTGCTCTTGAAGATCTCAGAAAGGCCTTTAAAATAAGGTAAATCCCACACCTTTTATTTACTGTGTGACTTTAAAATTGAACATTAGCTAACAAATGTCAGGTGTTTCTGACATTTTCTCATTTTTGTATGGTTATTTTTCAAAAATCCTCTCTAATGGAATCTGTATTTTCTGAAAAAACAGGCTGCAAATGGTGTGTGTCTTTATCATGAACCGAATGAATTCCCAGAGCAGTGGTTTCGCTCAGCGCCGGAGAATGGCTCTCGGGATTGTTATGCTCCTTCTTGTTGATGTGATATGGGTGGCATCCTCAGAGCTCACTTCGGTATGTAATTCTTGTCCAGGAATGATGTCCTCTGAGGTAATACTGCTGTTCCTCTGTAGTATCTCTAGTTACTCTCTCTCATGCTTATGTGAAGCAGTATTTCAAATAGCATTGAATTATTTGTTTTCTTTGATGTTGAATTAGTGTCAATTCGAGTTAACACTAAAAGGATCCTCTTTTAGTTGTTTCATACGGTTTTCTTGTATCTTTCAGGGAGGGTTACCTAGAAAGTGAGATGTGTGCACATTTTCTTTATATTGGAAGGTGTTTTTTTTCCTGAATTCCATTTCTGTATAAATACTATTTTTTAGTAGAACAACCATTTGGGATACAAAAACTCTTTGTCATCATTTAGTAGAAAGTAAGAATGCTTTTGGACAAATGAGTGAAAGTAATCAGTTTTCATGTACAGGTTACTACTGTGCACATACGTGGGTGCGTGCACATTTATGTGTTTGCTGATTCAAACATTACTGTGATGTGCATGTGTATAGTAATTGCCATTAGTTCAATTTTAGTTTATCTTTATTGATGACCTATTGGTAGTAATGTGTTTTGAGTTCACAAGCTAGTTTTTCTTTCTACTTGTGTAGTTACTTTATTCTGGAGGCTGGAAAGTCCAAGATCAATGCACTGGCAGATTTGGTGTCTGGTGTGGATCTGCTTCCTGGTTCTTAGATGGCAGTCTTCTCCCTGTGTCCTCACAAGGCAGGAGGGGCGGGAAAGTTCTCTGGGGTCTCTTATTTGGCACTAATCCCATTCATGAGGTTGCACCGTCATGACGTAATCACCTCCCACAGGCCCACCTCCAATACCATCACATTGGGGGTTAGGATTTTAACATATGAATTTTGGGGCAACACAAACGTTCAGTGTATAACATACGTATTCTGGATTTGGCTGATTGTTTCCTGAGGGTATCATTTAACTTGCTCCTCATTCTTTTATTTCCTGGAAAATGGTAATTAGGTCTAAAGTCTTGATTTGATTCCCGTTCAGTTTTTAGGAAAAAATACCTTGGTGGTACTGGGTACTTCCTTTGACATCACAACATGAGGCGTATAATGGCTGCAAGTCTTATTTTGGGTGATGCCGATTTGAGCACTATCAAGGTCCTTATCAACCTTTACGTAGTAGTTGAATATGCATCTGATATTGCCCAGCTAGAGTATTTCATTAGGGGTTGTGTAAATAGTGATTTTTCTAAAGGTCATTCTTTCTACATTTATTAGCTGGAATTCTTTCAGGAAAACTTTTCCACAACCACTGTTTGTTTATCCTGAAACGTGGTTCATATAGGAAAGATTGAATAAATCTTGATTTTTTTCATTTATTTGCTTTAGAGTAATGTTGCCTAGCAACTTCCAGTAGTAATCATTGAGAATTTTTTGAGTATCATTATACGTTCGTGGATTTTTGTATATTTGGTGTGTTTCAAACAATTGTAGGTATTCTTTTTGATGCTTAAACTGTCCTGTCTTTGATCAGTGAGAGCCCCTTCAAATTGGCTCTAGTGTCCTTTTAATACGATCCCATTAATCTTTATCATCCTATTTGCTTTCTGGTGCAAGATGCCCAGGCTCATCTGGTCCATTTCCTGCCCATACTTAGATTTGGCCATTTTTTTCAAGAACCCATGGTTTCTTTTAGTGCAGAATGGTACAGGTCACCATCTGGATTCTAGAGGTACTCATCCCTCCTGGGTTGTCATTTTTTTCTACACCTTTCAGTGCACATAACTAGGAAATTTTTTTTAGGAAAGAAAAAATCATGAATTCATACTGATATTTCCAATATCAATGAAGATTATGGTTTTTATAACTTCCTAATAACATTAAAACTTCATGCATTTTATTCATACATCATTCTGTTTCATTGCCTTTCTTTCTATTTCCTCTGTTTGGGCTGTTATTTAGCCTTTCAGAAACAGCTCATGATAGTTTCTCATGGAAACTTCCATAACCTTCCAAATGATCTGTTTCCCTTTGGTATTCTTGTGGTACCCTGTAGACCCCTCTCATGGTACTCAGCACGTTATGCTGTGTGCTCTTCATATATACATATATGTAATATATGTATCTCCTTTCAGGAAAGCTTGTCTTTTTTTTTTCCTTAGCCTCTGGCACAAGTAGCATTACATAGTAGGATTTCAGTGAATGCGGAACAAAACTTTTTTAGCTTGTTGCTTTGTTTGGGAATATTATCCTTTGTATGCAAGGTAAATTCAGTATTCGGAAGTGAATCTAAAATATTTTTATAATCCTTTTGATCTTTCCTGTCCAAATGAATTTTAGAGTTAAAAATTGTATAATGACCTCATTTTATTGGAGATGAGTAATAAGGTTTAAAGTCATCTCATAGTATCTGTAACTTTTTCCTCTGCAGTATGTTTTTACTCAGTACAACAAACCATTCTTCAGCACCTTTGCAAAAACATCTATGTTTGTTCTGTACCTTTTGGGCTTTATTGTTTGGAAGCCATGGAGACAACAGTGTACAAGAGGATTTCGAGGAAAGCATGCTACTTTTGTAAGTTTTAAATTTTAAGTGTTTGTTGGAGAGGGGGTATATTTTTTCAGAGTTTGCAGATGTATTAGTTTCTTGAAGGACAGCAAGATTTTAAGTTGTTCAGTTGAAGTGAAAGTAGCATGATACAAGAAAAGCCTACTTTTGTCCAAAATTTTAAATTTATTCTTCTAATCAACTTGGTATCAGAATATCTTTTGAAAAATTAAAAGTACATAATCACTTTCTATCCCTTACCTCATGACCTCCTCTGAGTTGTTAAAAATTATTGAACTAGGGCTGGCCCCATGGCCGAGTGGTTAAGTTCATGCGCTCTGCTGCGGCAGCCCAGGGTTTCGCTGGTTTGGATCCTGGGCACAGAAATGACACCATTCATCAGGCCATGCTGAGGTGGCGTGCCACATGTCACAACTAGAAGAACCCACAACTAAAATATACAACTATGTTCTGCGGGGAATTTGGGAAGAAAAAGCAGAAAAAAAAAAAAAAGATTGGCAACAGTTGTTAGCTCAGGTGCCAATCTTTAAAAAAAAAAAGAATTATTGAACTAGCCTAAATCAGTTAAGGTGGAGTAGATGATGAAAGTAAGGAATAAGAAGACTATCTGGAGCCTTTGGTCATTTGCAGACTGCATGAGAATCATCTGATTAGTTGTAAAGTTGATTATAGAAGCAAAATAATTCAAGGTTTTATATATTAAAATGAAAGTAGCATGTATCAGATGTTTGGCTAATCAAATTACATTCTTTTGTTGATGTAACATAACACGCTGATTCATAGTGTTGAAAAAAATGGCAGTTTATATAGTGATGTATCTTCCTTGTAGAAGTAGAAACTGAGTTTTTGAGAATGGAGAGTATAAAAATGAGTTTTTGAGAATGAAGGATGTAATCCTTTTTCTTTCATTCCCTCTTCCTTTCTTATTTGTGGTAAAATATACATAACAACAGATTGACCATTTTACCCATTTTTTCTTCTCCCCTCTTTTTTTTATTGTAGTAAAATATATGTAACAAAGTTTACCTTATTAACCATTATTAAATGTATAGTTCAGGGGCATTAAGTACATTCACTTTGCTGTGCAGCCATCACCACCCTCCATCTCCAGAACTTTTTCATCTTCCGGAACAGAAACTCTGTACCCATTAAACACTAGCTCCCATTCTCCCCTCCCCTGAGACCCTAGTAGCCACTGTTTTATTTTCTGTTGCTATTAGTCCTTTTCTTCTATGTGTACTATTTTTTGTGGGCCAAAACAGCATTATTTCTAGTTTTATGAGTACATTCTTGAGAAATGTACCCATTGGATTTTTGTCAGAGTCCTTTCAGCAGCTGATTTTGTAGTAACGCGTGGAAATGTTCACTCACATGTGCACAAATATTTGACTTACTAAAAATATGAATATATATATTTTTTACTTTGCAAAAGTAATTCATATACATTATAGAAATGCATAGACATTTTAGTATTACCTATAGGAACATATTGTATGTATATAAATACATGTATATTGTTGAAAAGTTAGGAAATACAGAGGAATAAAAAGAGGAAAATAATAAACTCTACTATTCAAGGAATAATAACTGACAGTTGTTTGAATATATCCTGCTGTTCTTTTTCATGTATTTTTTTGTTTTTTACAAAAATGAAAGTGTACTGTTATGTCCTGTTTTATAGCTTGTTCTGTATCTAGTTGTAACAACTTTCTATGTTACTAGGACTTTTTTTTTTTCTTAAAGATTTTATTTTTCCATCTTCTCCCCAGAGCCCCCCGGTACATAGTTGTATATATTTTTAGTTGTGGGGCCTTCTAGTTGTGGCACGTGGGATGCTGCCTCACTGTGGCTTGATGAGCGGTGCCAGGTCCACGCCCAGGATTTGAACCTGCGAATCCCTGGGCTGCCGGAGCAGAGCACGCAAACTTAACCACTTAGCCACGGGGCTGGCCGGATAGGACTTTTTTTAATGTTAAGTATTTTTTAATTGTAGTAGTGATAAATGTTCATTGTTGAAGACAAATTATGATAACAAGAAGAATAAGGATAGTTTATCCATAATCTTACCATTCTAAGACCACTATAAATATTTGATACTATCTATAGATATATGTTCGTGTGTATATATTAAAAAATTATTTATAGCAGAAATAAGTTTAGTCTATATGTATCATTTTCTAACCCAATTTTATTTTTCATTTAACAATATATCATGAATACCTTTCTAGGCTAATAAGCATTTGTTACCATCTTTTCCTCTTTCATTTAACTAACCCTTGATAGTTAGATTGTTTTCATTTTTTTCTTTGGATATAAGTAAATTGGAATATCTTTATACACGTCTATAGTTATTTACTTAGGATAAATTCGTAAAAGCATCATTGCTGGGTATGATAATAATGTCATTTTTAAAGCTTGTGCTTGCTATTGCTAAATTATCTACAATAGTTATACCAAATTTATATCTCTGTGAGCAATATGTAAGATTGAATCCTTACCAAAACCCCAACATTTGCCAATTTGATAGGTGAACAGTGGTATCTTGTTTAGTCTGCATAGTTTTGGTCATTTTTTTTCATATATTTGTTGCACAATAGAATTCTTTTGTCAATTGTATCTTGTTCATTCTTCGTACATTAACTTTTACTTATTGATTTATAAGTGTTCTCTAAGAGCATGGGCTCTGGTGTTTGCATCTTGTTCTGTCACTTGCTGATTGTGTGATCTTGGCAAGTTATTTAACCTCTTCAGACTTTAAGCAGGGATGATGATAGGGTATCTGTGAGTGTGAATACAAGCATGCTTTATACAGCACTGGCACAATTGTTCTCAAAGCGTGGTCCAGTCCCTGAAATCTGTTTAGAGGTTCTTGAGGTTAATACTTTTGTCTTGACGATAGTAAGATATTATTTGTCTTTTTCACTAACCCACCCAACCTTTCCCTACTATTTTCCCTACTAATCTGAAATGTTATGATAGTATTGTGAAAAGGGCATAAGTTTTGGAGTTAGACTAATAACTTGAGTTTTAATCCTGACTCTGTTACTTAGATGAAATCTCTCAGCCTCAATTTCTCCATCAGTAAAATGAGGATGTTAGTATCTGTGTTGCATAGTTGAATACTAGGCATTAACTTCTGTTATTATTAATAATAGTTATACTCTTGTAGGTCTACTCTAGATTTTTGGTTCTGTTCCTTTGAGCTGTGACTGACACTAGTTCTACTTTATAATTACTTGAGTTTTATGTCCTGTTATCGTAGTTTGCAGATGCTGAAGGTTACTTTGCTGCTTGCACAACAGATACAACTATGAATAGTTCTTTGGTAAGTGCTTCTTTTCTCGTCAGGAATGGAGTGGGTGGAGTTCAGCCATGGTGGGAAGGACTGAAATAGCTCTGAGAGCACCACAGCTATATTAAGTTATAGATATATCTCAGTATTGGGTGCTCTCCATGAGAATTGTAACACGCTCCTCTCTTTCCTGAGGGATACTTGGGGCCTAGAAGTAAGCAGTTCAGCCACCTCTGGGGAGAGAACGGAAGAGGAAGTTAGTTAAGGACTGAAGATAGTAAAGGACGGTCCTTTGTCCTTAATTTCTTACCAACTTTGTCAGTTCATGTTCATTATTATATTGTTACTTAGAAACATATTGATAGTGAGACTATATAAGCAGCTTGTTCATTTATTCCACAAATTTTTAAGAGAGCTTAATATGTGTTAAGTACTTACTCTAGGCCCTGGAAATACAGCTTATGTTTTAGTGTGTGAGAGTGTGTATTGGGGAGGGGAAGAAAGGTAACAGCAAGCAAATTAAGTAGATAACATAGTCACTTATTTTAAGCATTTATGATCTAATTGGAGAGATAGTATGTAAAAATCTGTTCTTTTTATAGACCATCATTAAGGCATCTCTTTAAATTGTACTGTTTCAAATGTGACGTTCTATCTGAGAAAAATGTTAAATTTACACTAAAATTTAATACTAGTTTATGAAGCATTGGCTTGATGACCTTATTGACTGTACAGTGTTTTGTTTGTCTGGCTTTTAGAACTACAGTTGCATTCAGGGTGGGTTACCAGGGGCTGTGAAGAGTTTATGAAGCTTAGAGAAAATGTAGTTTCTTTTCTCTGGGATCTTAAGCATCAACAAGATTAATGTCAGTTGCCTCCATCAGTGTAGAAGGCAGAGTTGAGACAGCAGCCTACTCTTCTGACTACGCTTCAACTAACATTTGCTATTATCTGTAAAATGGGTATGTCAAATTGTTCTAGGCCAATAGCTGTAACGAAATGTTCACTGTAACAAAGAGACTCTGTCTATTTCCAGATCCTATTGTGTCTTCATTTACTGAATGTTTTCCTTTGGCAGAGTTCTATACCAGGAGTTAAAGGAGAAATTAAAGAAATAAAAAACATTTTCTTTTAATTTAAGAAAAAGCCTATTTGGAGAATTGTGTCTTAAACACAGATCATCTGAAGAACATTGGTAAAAACAGTGGAGGAATTTAGAACCACTTAGAAATGTAGATCTTTAGTGCATGGTTAGACAAACCTGACTTTAATTCTGTTTTCTCCCACATGATTATTTTATATCTCAGCTTCTAAAATAGTTCCTTGAAAAGACCGTATTATAAAGTGGTTGTGAGGACTAATGAGAAATGTATGTTTAACTGCTCTGGACTTAGTACCTGGTACCTGGGAAGAACTGAAAAGTGGTAGCTGTTTTCTTCTTATCTATTGATTCTGTAAGGGTTTTCAGGAATTTTTGGTGTTAGTTGAATCTTAAGTAATAAGGGGAAATAATTTGGCAGCTGTACATACATGTCGTATACGTGATTATCTGTTCATTGTCTGCCTTCACCTTTGAGACTGCATGATCATTGAGGACAGAGACTTTGTCTTTTTTCATCTTATATCCCCAGGCCCTAGAACAGCTCCTGACATAGTAGGAGCTTAGTGCATATTTGTTAAAAGAATGAATGAAAAGGAATGGGAGGTAACCTGTTAGCCTGGAGAAGTCTGTTTCTATGACATTTAAATGTCAGATATCATAATGTACCAATGCTGTTCTGTTACGTTTCTAAACTTTAAACTGCTTGTTTTCTGTCGCTGTACCTGTGTGGATCATTTGAGTTTCCTTTATAAGCCTTGAAAATGTATTTTGGGAAAATTAGGCTGAGTGAACATGGTGGTGAACAGGCATGTTTCAGGTGGTGTCTGTGTTCACCTACCATCCACTGAAATTTTAGCCAGTAGACCAGCTATTATACTTACTGTTTATATTTGTTTCTGTTGCTTTTGTATTCCAGAGTGAACCTTTGTATGTTCCTGTAAAATTTCATGATCTTCCAAGTGAAAAACCAGAGAACACAAATGTGGATGCTCAAAAAAGTAAGCAAAACTGAGAATTTCATAACTTAGAAATGGGTGGAAATTTTAGCTTCATGCAAATCACTCCAAAACTTAGTGATTCTGCAGGTTGACTGGGATCACCTGGCAGTTCTTCTTTTCCACTTGGTGTTGGCTTGGCCTTCGGTCTTCCAGAAACTTGAATGGGAGTTTTAATGAATTCAACCGGAAATAATTTCCAAATACCATATATCTCTATGGTTTCATTATACATATATACATATATATACATTAAAATGAACAATATCTTCTTCAACCATACCATCAAAGACCTTGATAGCAAATTATGGGAGTTTTGCTGGTTCTGTGAATTGAGTAAAGAATGCCAGCTTCAACTTACGGCACAGTAGTTATTCATAATATTCTCTTGCAAGGAGTGCACCTATAGAGGAATGTTCTGCATGCTTGACCAGGAAAATAATTCTTATAAATTGAGTATCTTTGTGGAAAAATCAAAATAAAGTTATACTATAAATGCTAAAATAATAATCATACTGTAATCCCAAACCAGGCAGTTGTGTAGGGACACAGTTGAAGAAACCTTCTTTGAATATTGGTCTTATTTTAAAACCTTTAAAACACTTTTATAGATGAGAACATTTTTCTAACTCTTTGAATGAGCAGATCTGCCCTAGGTAATAATATAACTCTGGTTTTCTTTGTCCAAGTCTGATCCTAGATGGATTAAATAATATGCACTTATCAGTAAATTAAAACTTGTGACTTTTGTTGGATTCGAGGGGAAGTATTTAACGATTTTGTACTATACTTTTCCTTTTAAGCTCCCAAAAAGTCTCGTGTAAGGTTCAGTAACATCATGGAGATTCGACAGCTGCCTTCGAGCCATGCGTTGGATGCTAAGTTGTCTCGCATGTCACATCCTGCTGTGAAAGAACAAGAGCCCTTACTCAAAACTGTGGGGAAACTTACTGCAACTCAAGTAGCAAAAATTAGCTTTTTTTTTTGCTTTGTGGTAGGTCTTCTCTTTATTATATGTTTGGAACTTGAATTTTAAGGCAGTATACATACCAGCAATATACTCTTGAAGTGTAAGACTATTAGGTTGCTTAATCATGACTTTAAACTCTGCAATCTGGTATCATTGGGGAATGAAGAGTATCATTCCCCATACTTGCCATGCCTCAAAGAATTCAATAAATACTATAGTACTACAACTACTCATATATTCAGAATTTGGCATTGCCTTCTGGTCAGAATAATAAATAGTTATTTTACCCTATGATGTCTATAGCGCTGGTAAATATCCAGATAAGAATTTACTGTATGCATTGATTTCTTCAAATAAGTGTTTTTGCAGTTTTATATTAAATTCATGTAAATGTGGTCAGGTATTTTAGCAGGTACTCATAGTAAACATTTCTACGGAATTTCTAGTAATATTATCGATAGCATCTCTATTATTTTAATATAGAAACTGAAAAATGTGCTTAAGATTTCACAGAAAATAATCGTATAGCAAATAAAATATTATTTTGGGCTAAGCTTGGATTAGATACTTATCTGAGTTAGTGAAAACTCTGAAGTTTCAAGTTTAAAAAATGAATTTCAGTGTTCTTTTATATATATCTATACCTCATTGGATATAGCCTAATCTAAGTTTGGTTAGTATGAGCCTTTAAGATTTCAGTTTATACTGAGCATTTTTAAACACTAGATGATCCAATGCTGATATCAGTATTATTAGCCTGACTGTAAGGTTTTTTACTTCACAGTTTTGCCTCTCATATTTTACTGTGTAGCCCATTTTTCTCCATTCTCTGTCTGGAAAACCTCTGTTTTAGTGAAACTGCCATTAATATTTTCAGCAGTGCAAGTCAAAAAATCTTTGGGAATTGTAATATAATTACATATGTAATAAAGTTAATTTAAAAGGCTCATATATTTGGATTATGCTATTAGTTGTGATTTCTGTTTGCTTGTTTTAAATGACTGGAAGATAAGACTAAGATTTATTAATTATATATTACCTAATTTTCAAAGGACACTTGAAGTCAAGTGTAATAAAAGCATCTATATAGTAAAAGTTTTTAAAAAAGGGGAAAAGATAAGAGCCAGATTAAATAGGTAATGTCTGTGTGTGGGAGGGAACCTGGCTGTGGAATCAGATGATTATATTAGGAACTTCTATGTAAAGGAAGAAAACTACTTCAGGTGACACACAATTCATCTCTAGGCAAATTGGCAGGAAAGCAAAAAGGAAAACCTGAGTTACACAGTTTATTGTCTTTAAAAGGAAGTATCTCTCTTCATTGGATAAAGCAAACTTTTTCCTAACTCAAAACTCTACGAGAGAATGTGCACATAGGTTCTTATGTAATAAGGCACCACTCTGTATAGCACATTTACAGATAGATACGTGCAGATAATAGCCTTGTAAAAAATGGCAATAGATAACACATACCATAAAATTTACCATTTTTAAGTGTATAGTTCAGTGGCATTAAATACATTCACATTGTTGTGTAACCATCACCACCATCTATCAACAGAACTTTTTTCATCTTGCGAAACTGAAACTCTACCCATTAAATGATAACTCCTCTTTCCCACCTCCCCACGCCCCTGACAGCTGCCGCTCTGCTTTCTGTTTCTGAATTTGACGACTCTAAGCACCTCAGATGGTGAAATCAGACAGTGTTTTTCTTTTTGTGGTGGGCTTGTTTCACTTAGCATTATGTCTTCAAAGTTCATCTTTGTAGCATGTGTTAGAATTTGCTTTTTTTAAGATTGAATACTATTCCGTTGTATAGATATATGCCACCTTTTGTTTATCCGTTCATCCATTGATGTACACTTGGGTTGCCTCTACATTTAATAGTCTTTTTTAAAAAAAAAATCAACTTAAGTTACAAGTGCAGAGAGCTGTGTTAGTCTTCAGTAAGGGCATTTCTATAGAAAGTGAGAGTAATACAGTCCACGCATATAGCTTTCTGGAAACCTGATTTAATAGAGTGATGAGCTTTGGTAAGGTCTAGAGCAGTGCTATTTGCTAGAAATATATTAGGAACCTCAAATTCAGGTCACTTAGGTACTTTTAAATTTTCTAGTAGCCATGTTAAAAAAAACAAGTGAAGTTACTTTTAATACTATATTTTTATTCAATACACTATATGTAAAATATTTCAATGTTATCAATAAAATTATTGATGAGATAGTTTTCATTTTTTTGTACTAAAATCTTCTAAACATTTTAGTTTCAATTTCTATTTTGTTTCTGTTTCTGTTTCATTTCAATTTCAGTTGCTAAACCATTTCAGTTCAGACCAGCCGCTTTTCAGTTGCTCAGTAGCCACATGTGGCTAGTGGTTAGTTTATTGGACAGTGCCAGTCAAAGGGAGTTAATGATTACCATATTTGCCAGTCCTTCTTGAATATCTTTTGTCTTATTAGGGCTTATGGTGTTTTAATTTTTTTCTATAAAATATATTTAGGTTATATAGGCTTTACCAAAAATGCCTTTTATGATAATTTTAAAATGAATTACCACCCATGAAATTTTATGTAAATTATTTGCCATAGATTGTTAGTAAGTGGTTGTCCTCAACTCTAGAGTAATGAAACATTTTAAGGATAATTTTTGTTAGAAAGTAATTGAGATAGATCTTCTTTTATGATGAAGGTGTTTAGGTTTGAGAGCCAGAGAATGGGGAGAGATGGAGAATAGGGAGGTCTTTCTGGAGAGAGTTCATAGCTAATGATGAATTCTCATGATCTTTGAATGGCTGCCATCTAGGTGATCTGTTTTTATTTCTCTGTCTTGCATTAGCAGAGACCAGTGAGATTGTTTGGAAAATGTGCACAGTATTTAAGTATTAAAGTGGTAAAGAAAATGGGTCAAGAAAGCTAGTTATCACCCTGTAAGCATTATCTCTTCTTGCAGAAAATTTCCAGAACATAACTAAGGGCAGAATCTTCTGCCTCTTCTCTAGCACTTCAAATACAAGCAGATTGTGGCTTCTGTTGTCGTAAATGTTTGATGTTGACCATCTTACCAACTGCTACCTCATTTTCTTGTTTAGAAAGTCAAGTGAAATTATTTAGGAAGTTAGAGGACTACAGATGGAATCAGAATCACTTTGCCATAGTTTCACTCTGGCTGTAGCCTTCAATACAGTGTACACTGAATGGAGACTCCTAAACTCTCAGCTATCTGCTCCCTTCAAGCTGTGCTCTAAGATCACGTGTCTATGCTGCCGCTTTGAAATGTCAGTAGTAATAATTATACTACTCACTTAACTACAAGTCGTGAGAGAGATTGAGGAATGTCCGTCTCTTATTGGAGACAAGTCATTCTTCAGTAGAATATGATTATCCGGTCAATCTGTTTAAGTAAGAGGTGCCGACAACAGTTAGACAAGCAGTTAATTTACTTTGATTGACCCAGCAGTCTACTTCTCAGTGTATATGTTAATGACACTCAAGCACAGATGCACCAGGAGGCATGTACTAGAATGTTTATAGTAGCATTGTTTAAAGTAGTCAAAAAAGTGTCCATCAACAGATAAATGGATGAATTGTGTTAACAGGCATTAGAATATCTGATAGCAGTGAAAATAAGTGAACTTTGGGCACACACATACTAGGCTTCATCAGAAAGAACTCTGGTTTCTTATTCCTTAAATCAAAGTAGGCACAGGGTTGAGAATGTAAGAATATCCTGGCCTAGATGAGCAAAAGAGAAGAGAGAATTAGAAAAAAAATCCTCATAGCTGGAAAACTTCCCTTAATTATACCCAGAGTTATGAGAACTCTTTGTAGTATGTCTCCAAACTGAAAATCAAAGAAACAATCACAGTTAGATAGTAAATTCACAGTTTTCATTGGACATTTTTAAATTCCCAAAGTGAATATAGCCTTTTATCTCTCAGTCTCCCTACTAGCTACTTTTATTCCTCCCCATAGGCGTACAGATTTCTCATCATGCTATATTCATCTGTACATATTTTAATACTTGAGAATTTCTCGAAATTTAAATTTGATTTAGATAATATGAGTGTTAGATAAAGCAAGTTTTAAAGTTGATTTGTTACTTAAATTTAGCCCCATTTTTTAAAAACCTGAATGCTAATTTTTAACTAGCTATTGTTAATGTCTTGAGGGAAATTGGATAACAAAGATCTTAGGTCTGATTATAAACATCCTCTTTTGGGGCCTGTGATTTTTCAATACAAAACAGCTTTTAAAACCTCTTATGATGACATGTTTAGGGGGAGAAAAAAAGGAGAGGACTGTAAATTGTAATAACAAATATAAACATAACATTCAGTAGGTTTCACTTTGTTTTCTTTTCTCTAGTGGTTTTTGGCAAATTTCTCATATCAAGAAGCACTTTCAGACACGCAGGTTGCTATAGTTAATATTTTGTCCTCGACTTCTGGTAAGAAATTTGTCTTCAAAATCTGCATTGTAAATCGAGACTCATTTCTGATAGATATATATAGATATATATATATATTTCTTAGATATATGACACATGCACACGTTTTTATCTTGCTATAAATTACTACATTTGTTCTAATGTACATTAGTATATTGTGACTACTTAATCTTTATAGTTTCCTGCCCTTGCCTTGTGCTCTTATTTTCCTTCAAATACTTTACAGTATTTTTTAATACAACAATATATTAAAGTTTTATAGGCTGGCTCTTTGTATTGTAGTTGTTGTTCCTTTCACATATTCTTTCTAAAGATCATTTTCTAGACTCTTTGGCTAAATGTAATTGCTTATTTCAGAACTATAATTTGCCCTATGAAAGGTGTTTTATTTTTAAAATTGAATCACCTTCCAAATCTGGAAGATAAAAAAAGTATTTTTGAAGTTGTAAAAATAACTTTAGCACACAGGCTTGATTATGATGAAGTCAGAACGTTACTCTGAATGTTCAGTTTAACTCTCTTAGTCATTTAAAATAATAGGACTATACTTGAGGTAAAGTATAAAGTATAAAGAGGTAAAACAAGTTCCAACAGTAAACAAGTTTATTGTTGAAGTAAACGTGGTTTAGAGGCTCTTTTTTGGATGATCTTTGAACATTTCATCCTAGGTATCTGCAGTCTTGTTCTTAGTTATTTACAAATGACAAAAATGAGTTGAAAAGTTAGGTGTATAATTTACTTATTTAAACAATCAAGTTGGTAGTATATAATTTTGACAATATTTAAGCTAATGTATCTTTTTTTATTCTTTTCTCTCCAAAGGACTTTTCACCTTAATCCTTGCTGCAGTGTTTCCAAGTAACAGTGGAGATAGATTTACTCTTTCTAAACTATTAGCTGTAATTTTAAGGTAAGAATATAGTGTAATAGCTAATTTGCTTAAAAATACAGTGTTTAAAAAAATTCTGGTAGTAGAGGATAGTTTATATTATGGTAAACTGTATAGACAAAGAAAGATGAGGATAACAAAGATTTTAAATGGACGTTATGCTACTCATCCCTCAGTCACATCCTGGACTAGTTTTCCATACCTTCCTGGGGAGGGTAATTGGTGGGAAGGACCCTAAGGCAGCTTTGGTTTCCTTTCATGTGACTGCAGACTTACGAAGTATTGTACTGACATTTACGTTTAACCGAGTGGCAACTTCATCCTCATCGTCTCCAAGTTTCTGTTTCCTCTTGGTAAAACAAGTTCCCCTTTTTGTTTTGGTTTGGATTTTTATTTCTCCTACTTCTAGAAATTTAACATGCAGTCTTCGCTGATTGTCTCAGCTTCAGTCTCTCAGTTATTTTCGATATAATTCATTTGGCAATTTTGTATTACTGTATAACATCAGTGTTGTGGATAACTATTTTTGAATCTTGTATTTTTATTTAACTTTGTGTATATTTGTCTTGTCTTCCCTATGAGATTGTAAACCCTTGAAGGCCAAAGCCTTGTTTTATACTTCTTTGTGTCACCAAAGGCCCAGCGTAGGGCTTTGCTCACAGACAGTACTCAAAAAGTTGTTTTGGGTTTGATAAAGATGTTGTTTTTGTGAGAGAAAATCAGAAATCAGAGAGGGTAACAGAATAGTTTAATAGAATGATTAATGTTTTTTAGCTGTCGGAGCTGGGTTTGAATCAGAGCTCTGCTCTTTGTGCCTGGCAGGTCCCTTTAACTCTGAGGGGCTTTCCTAGGTGAGGAAATGATGATAGTATCATCTACTCTGCAGCCTTGTTTTAAAGTTTAGAGGGAATGTGTACAGAAAGTGGTTATCATAGAGACTGGTACTTGGCAATAATATAACTGGTAGCTCTTATTATTTTGTGTTTTTCTCTTTTAGATATAAGGGTTAATTAACCATGGTAGTTTCCATAGGTAGTGGTTGACCCAACTAATTTACCATTTAAACTTTTGCCACCAGGAGTTTATTCTTTTGCATGATTGGTTAATGTTTTAGCCAAACATATTTTCACATTAGGGGAATACAGTATATTTATATTGGGAAGTAAATGAGATTTTATTCAACTTTATTCAAAATCCATGCTAATTTCTAACTTTTCTTTATGCTGTCTTAATAAAGATAGATTTGAAAAAGAAGGAAATGGATTTAAAACATTGAACTTGCAAGTATTTTGATAGAGTCCATTACTCCTTCTCATTAAAGTAGATCTAGAACAGGGGTCAGCAGACTAAGATGAGCTGGTTTCTTGTTTTTTGTAAATACAGTTTTATTGGATCAGAGTCACTCTCCTTTGTTTGCATATTGTCTATGGCTCTGTTAGCCCTACAGTGGCGGAGTTCAATTTCAACAGAGACCATATGGCCCGCAAGCCTGAAATATTTACTGTTTGTCCCTTTAGGAAAAAGTTTGCTCAATCTGTGGTTTAGAAAAATTATTACTTAGGATTTTTTATATATTTATTATATGTTCTTAAGAATACTATATTGAACATTATTTAATATTTTGTTTTGAAATGGCCTTATACAATGAGATTCAGTTTCTGAGGTTATAAAAAGAATTTGACATAGCAACAATCCTGAAGGAAATCTGATAAGCTAAAATGTCTCATTCCATCAGTTGAGAGACAGAAAAGAGGGTGGCCTCAAGCTAAACTGCCTAGAATCCAGTCCTACCTCCATCATTACTAGTTTTGAGATTTTTGGGCAAGTTTCTTGCCTCTCTGCGTCACAGTTTCCTCATCTGTAAATTGGGAATAATAGTAATAGGATTTGTCTGAAAGGATTGTTTTGAGGATTAAATAAGTTAAAACTTGTAAAGTATTTGGAATAATGTCTGGTGCACAATAGGTGCTCAAGATATTTAGCCATTGTTGTTATTATTATTATCTAAGTGGAATTAAAACTTTTGGTTTCTAGAATGTCGTGGGTGCTCAATAAATAATAGCTGAATCTGAATTTGAACAATGGTTATTTAACAGTGGTGATTTAATTGAAAGATATGAATATTTGACTTGCAATGGAATAATTCCATAAGGGAAAAAAATTTCTTTTTTATATTCCTCTCCCATTGCTACCTGGGCTTTCTAATCAGTAGGTGAAAGACTAATTTTTTTAAAAGTTAGCAATATTTTATCTGCTTGAAAAATGTATACAATTTACAAGATACATAGAAGTAGAAAGACAATAGAAGCTCCATGAGGACAGGAACCACATCTATCTTGTTCACTGCTGTAACCTAGTGCTAAGCTTAAGAAATAACAATTGAATGAATGAATGGCCTCTGATTTCTCTCCATCGTTAATTCAGTCTTATTTTTATCTATTAAAATAATGATATTTAGTTATTTAAATATTTAAGGATAGTTTTACTGTTAATTGAAGGTTTACCGGTAAGCAAGAATTAGTGCCGTTGCTAGGTTTGTATAGGTTTAATATATGTATATCTCCAAAAGAAAGATTGGAAGGGAGATGACAAGTTGGTTAATTCTTCCCTAATTGAAAGGCAGTAGATAGCATAGCTGGTAAGAGCTTTGGACTCCGGAAGCAGACTGCCTGCGTTTCAATCCCAGCTGTGTGATTTTGGTCAAGTTACTTCATCTCTTTGTGCGTTAGTTTTCTCATATGTAAAATGGGAATGGTAATAATAGTAATACTTTCCTTATAATATTGTGCATTTTATGAGGATTCAAGGAATTAATGCAAGTATAGCGCTCACACTATTCTGATAATATTGTTAGATATTAATTAAATCACAAAATTTTTTGACAGTTTTACCCAAGTTTGAGATTAGTCTTGATCATTTGTAAATAATTTTTATTTTTATTGTTAACCCTTTTAGAGCATTTATTACTTTGCTTATCTGTAATGACTTATTCTCATAGCATTGGAGGTGTTGTGCTGGTAAACCTGTCAGGGTCTGAAAAATCTTCTGGAAGAGATACAATAGGTAAGTACCCGACTCTGTATTCTTTCTGTTAGAGTATACAAGACAGTTTTGTGTATATCATCATGTGTGTCTGTGTGTGCGCTGTGTGTGCGGGCATGTGTACTCACACAGAAGGTGGGCACTAACGGGGCCTTTTAAAAAATATTTCCTTTGGAAATAATGTAAAAAAATTCAAAAAGAGTTCACAGACTTCTCATATGCCCTCACCCAGATTCTCTAACTGTTAACTACATACGTAACTACAGTACAGTTATAAAAATCAGGAATTAACATTGATTACAATAATATTATCTAGTCTGTATATCCTTTTCAGTTTCACGATTTTTTCCACTAATGTTCTTTTTCTGGCCCAGGATCACCTGTTGAGTTTAGTTGTCATGTATTCTTAGTTTCCTTTAATCTGGAGCTGTCCCTCTGTCTTTTTTTGTCTTTTATAACCTTAACACTTTATAACAGGATATTGTGCAGTTATTTTGTAGAATGTCCCTCAATTTGGGTTAGTCTGGTACTTCCTTATGGTTAAATTTGTGTTGTGCATTTTTGGTAAGAATACCATGGAAGTGATATTATGTCCTGATCAGTACATCGTATCAGAAGGCACATGATGTTGCTTTGTCCCATTGCTAGTGGTATTGATTTTAAAGTGATGTCTGCCGGTTGCCTCCAGTGTACAGTTACTGATTTTTCCCTTTGAAAGTAATAAGCATCTTATAGGGAAATAGTTTGAGACTATACAAATGACTTGTTTCTGTCATCCAGTCATGTGCCACATGCAGACTACACATATGACAGTGGTCCCATAAGATTAGGACCATGTAGCCTAGGTGTGTAGTAGGCTATACCGTCTAGCTTTGTGAAAGTACACTGTGGTGTTCACACGATGACGAAATCGACCCATTTCTCAGAATGTATCCTGATTGTTAAGTGGTGCGTGACTGTACTCGCACCCACTAATCTTGTCATTCACTTGTGATTTTTGCCTGAAACAGTTACTACTGTGGTGAATACTTAGTTTTTGATCTAGTCTTTAGATTTAACAAAAACAAAGGTAATCAGAACTCAGCTTACTGGCTTCCCTCTTGGTATTTTCCCTAGATATTTGAAGTTGATTGAATAGAACAATGCTTTCTAAACTATTCCTGGTTACTGCCCAGTGAGCTGTGCCTTGAACTACTTCACCTTTTTCTCACCCAGAGCAGCTTTGTATGTGTGAAACAAAACATGTGTTTGTTGTGTGTGTTGACAGGCTTTGCTTTAAAAAAAGTTTAAAAATAATTTAAAAAGTAGATTTAAAAAATCATTAGACTTTTAAATAATTGATTAAAGTATTGAATATGGTGACTTAGCAGACAGCACATTATTAACTCTTTTAAAAGGCTTACTTAAATGTTTTTGAGAATGAGTTAATATATTAAAGAGAATCAGTATTTATTATGCATGTACAATGATCCCTGCATTATGTTAGATATTTTGGAGTGTTAAAAAGTGCAAATTGGGGCTGGCCCTGTGGCATAGTGGTTAAGTTCAGGTGTTCTGCTTTAGTGGCCTGGATTCACAGGTTCAGATCCCAGGTGTGGACCTACACCTCTTGTCGGTCATGCTGTGGTAGCGACCCACATACAAATAGAGGAAGAATTGGCACAAATATTGGCTTAGGGCGAATCTTCCTCATGCAAAAAGAGAGAATCTGGCAACAGATGTTAGCTCAGGGTATATCTTCCTCAACAACAACAACAAAGTATAAATTATGTGTGTGTAGTTTTCAAGGAGTTCTTGATTTTAATCAGTATATGAGATTTACAAAATGAAGCCATAAAGAATGAAATAATACCATATTTAGCTATGGTAAGTATAAAATTGTCTAAAATAGAAGACAAGTAGGATGGAAGTTCAGGGGAGTAGAAAGAGGATGCTCTGTAGTAGAGGTAAGACTCTAATAGGGCCTTAAAGATGGTAATGGAATATATATTAAAAATGATACATGGTGGTGGAGAGAACAGAGACCAGTATAAGCAATAGCTTAGGGAGAGAAAGAAGGATTGTTAAGTTGGATTGTGTCAGGTGTCAAAATTGTTTATGTAGGGGAAACAGGAAGTATGCATTTCAAAATTAAAAAACAAAGTGTTACTTATATGAGTTTCTGTATTATAACATGTAGAAGTGTTTGGTTAGATCATTGAGGTGAATGCTTTTGCAGTTTTGGGTTACACTTTAAATTCCTTCCTATGTTCCTGGAGGACATGGATAGGGTAGGATATACTTTATCTTTTCATTTTTTGTTAAGAATTCATTCATTCATTCATTCATTCATTCATTCATTCATTTATTTGCTGAGGAAGATTGTCCCTGAGCTAACATCTGTGCCAATCTTCCTCTATCTTGTACATGGGACACGGCCACAGCATGGCTTGATGAGTGGTGTGTAGGTCCATGCCCAGGATCTGACCTGGTGAACCCCAGGTCACCAAAGTGAAGCATGCAAACTTAACCACTTTGCCACTGGGCCAGCCCCTGTATTTTCATATTTGTATGCTCATTTCTTGAAATAGGATCTGATACATTGTTAGATTTTAAATAAGTGTGCGTTGAATGCATTAATGAACAAATGCTTTAAATCATTATCTTGATTTTTACAGGTTCCATTTGGTCTCTTGTTGGAGCCATGCTCTATGCTGTCTATATTGTTATGATTAAGAGAAAAGTAGACAGAGAAGATAAGTTGGATATTCCAATGTTCTTTGGTAAGAGTATGTTTAACTTGTGAGACTCTTTACTTGGAATGATTACCTTAGGGTTTTGTTTTTTGGAGTGAATGCAGAAGCCTTTTTCCCCCACCTCCTCCATATGATTCTTTAAAACCATTAAATTTTAGAGATTATGAAGTCCAATCTCAATGTTTTTCTCTTACCCTGTTCCTCATAGTTGTGTACCTGTGAGAGAACACCCATCCCCTCATTGTGAGGTAAAGAAATTCCTCCTAACACCTTTTTTGCAGTAACGTCTGTAGATCAGATACTTTCTTCATTGAAATGACAGATTTTGCTATTATAAAGCATTTGAGAGTATACCTGTTGTATTTTACATTTTGCCATTCTTGAATTGTTGGAAGCATAGAACTGGGGAACCTGCCCCAAAATGATATATATAATACTGTTCCAGTTTATGTATGTATTTTCATTAAAAATTGTGGGCCATTTAGCTTTTCATTTGAAGTTTGTCTTTAAGACTCAGATTCTTTTATTACATAGATTTTCAAATTACCAAATTATAGTTTCTGGCATCAATTCTTAGTTTTGCTAAATAAAATACCTAATATGGGAGCTGGCCTGATGGCATAGTGGTTCAGTTCACATGCTCTGCTTTGGCAGACCGGAGTTTTGCGGGTTGGATCCCGGGCACAGACCTACACGCTGCTCATCAAGCCATGCTGAGGCGGCATCTCACATACAAAACAGAGGAAGATTGGCACAGATGTTAGCTCAGGGACAATCTTCCACAAGTGAAAAGAGAAATATTGACAACAGGTGTTAGCTCAGGGCTAATGTTCCTCCCCGAAAAAAAAAATACCTAATGTGATTTATAAACTCTCCTTTGCCTAAAAGCAGCTCAATAAAGAACCTGTGCTGTCTGTAGGATTGCAAAAGAAGAGCACATTGACAAGATATCTTCCAAAAGATACCTGAATATCAATAGATAAAGAAGCCTGGTGATAAGAGTTCAAAGTACAGCTTACAGGGAATCAGGAGGCCTGGATTCTAGCTGCTATAACTTCCTTTATCTCATATTCATCTGAAACAATGAGGAGATTGGACTAGATGAGTAGCTTCCAAACTGATTTACAGAGCGTCCTGGGAAGGGAGGGAGGAGATGGAGTTGCATGCATGGGTCTGGTTCTTGAACTCCTTTGCTGCTTTGGCTGAAACAACTTTGCTTTATTATGCTTTTTGCATTATAATTTAATTTGTAGAAAAGAGTTTTCTGCTAAAAATAGTTTGAATATTTGTGCCTAAAGATTAACAAAAATAAATTTTTGAAAAGCCACCAGACTGGGTGATCAATCAAGTCCCTTTTAAGTATAGAATTCAATAAATACACCTTAAGTATGAAGATAATTTTAGTGATGTCTTATTTTAGAGTCATAGAAAATTCTATCTGGAGTGCAATGAAATGTTAATATTTTTTGAGTCTTCTTTTTTAAGATTGGCAACTTTCAAGAAAAGTTATTTAATTTACTCTTATTGGTGAGAGTGCACATAGACATGTTACTTGATTGGTCTTCTTCATATGTGATGTGCTAGGTAAGGCATTGTTGATTTGACCTGGGCTTCAGGATGGACAGGATTGGAGAAGAAGAAGATAGGACTGGGATGTGGAGAGTTCTCTGAGCGTGGGGATGTGAGCAAAGCATAGCAGGGAGCAGCAAGTAGATCGATGTCATCGTGCTGGAGTGTTCACTTTAGGGAAGAACAGGAAGGTATGCGGACCACATTCTGGAAAGTCTGGAGAATAGGTGAAGTGATTTGGACCTTTGTCTCTAGGTCCAAAGGTCGTAAATTTATGTGGAATTTCATAGACTTGATAGTTCAGGGACCAGAAAATAGATTTGGGTTTTGATAATGTCAAATTTTGGTGTTTTAACTAGAATACCTTTTTAATGTGATGCAAGCTTTTTAGGTCGTGAGTTCCCTCTGAATGTGTGTCGTTTTGTTTGTTTTTATTTTTATCACTAGATGTCTTAAGTTGGATTTCCTAGAAGCAGGATATGAGACAGGGATTTGATGTGGGTGACTTATTGAGGGACTGCTCTGCAGGAAGGACTGGCAAGCAAGTGAGAGAAGCAGGATGCAGAAGGGGAAAGGACCACGTGGTCTCAGTAGAGGTTTGGCCCAGTTCCTGGCAGGGGTGGGGACAGGTGGCAGATGGGGAGCGAGAGTGGTTGATATGTCTAGGCCATCCTCAGAGTTGTCCTGGCCTTGAACCATGAAGGCCAACCTTGTGAATGGCCCATCAGTCAGTTGTTGGGTGCAGAGGGTGTGGGGCGGGGAGGGGTGGGAACTTCCTGGGAAAGGCGGACTTATTTGCTCTCCCAAAGAAGGCAATGGCTGTGAGTCTTTTGCAGCAGATAGAGAGTAGGTGCTCCAGCCCTGGTAAGAAGATTGAACTAGGCATCCTAAATACTAGTTTATTATTTAGCAGCAAATATGAAATATATATCTACTGTAATTCAGTTTTCTTTTAAGAGAGTTCTATAGTTATCTTGTGGATGTGATAGTGGCTCTGGGATGTTTAACTATATAGAAAGTGCAGTAAAATTACCACAAACTTGTAATATTTTTTTCTTTATAATCTTTACATTCATATGTATGTAGCCATGTATAAACTTACATTCCTATGATAATAGCTAGCCTTTAACTGGTCACTGTGTGCCACGTAGTCTGCTATATTTTATCTATTTCGTCTAATCTGCCCAGTAGCCTAATTAAATATTGTTTCACACTTGTAGATTGGAAAACTGAGGCCTAAAAGAGGTTTTTGCTTCTGTATCTGCACTTTATACTACTAGTGAATGGTAAAGCTGGGATTGGAACCCACGACAGTCAGACTGCAGAGCACGCGTTTTTAACCACTAAATGTTACAGCCTTCCTTTACAAGTAGTCTGTACTTAGTTCATACACTGAACAGCTACTTGTGTATGTATGTTATCTCACCAACTAGCTTATGAGCACTGGGAAGGCAGGAACCAAGAATTTTATCTTTCTTGGAACCTTTCTCCATTATTGCTAGCATAGCCCAGGTGCTTTAAATATGCTAGTTGAATGAGAGAACGTACTGTCCAATTCCTCATAATTAATTTAGGCTGAATATACATACATCCTCCTCCCCTCCCCCCCGCCCCCCCCCCGGTTATTTCTTTAAGTTCTAGCACGCTATATTATGAGTAGCTAAGGTTAACAACCCTTCTTTTGGAATTGTTTTAAGTGGTTTATTTGGCAGAAGTTGCTCCACGCAGTGTGGATAGTTGAACTTTGAAGACTCAGTGGTCAGCAGTTGCTTGATAGAGTTTTTCTGGTGTGCTGTGCACAGGACTGACTTAACAAAGAAACAGAAGTTCCAGTTGAGGAAACCTGTTGGAGCCCTTTGTGCAGAATCTAATGTTTTTAATTACAGAGTTATAAGTCTGGAAAATTTAAGTAAACCACAATTACTAACTTTTGTCTTTTTTATACATGTTTAGGTTTTGTAGGTCTGTTTAATCTGCTGCTCTTATGGCCAGGTTTCTTTTTACTTCATTATACTGGATTTGAGGACTTTGAGTTTCCCAATAAAGTAGTATTAATGTGCATTATCATTAATGGCCTTATTGGAACAGTTCTCTCAGAGTTCCTGTGGTTGTGGTATGTACTATTTATTACTCTATGATTTATTAGTTATCAATTTATTGTCTTTTGGGTAATTTAAGCATTTATATTTCTTCTGTCTTCTGATGGCCCCTCCTCTGCACCTTCCCACCCCCACACCACATTTACAATTTAATACAAGAACTCCATTAGAGCAGGAACTTTATTTTTACTTTTTAACTTTTATATACCCATTATATAGCATAGTGCCTTGCACACAGAAGGAGCTCAGTAAATATTTGTTGAATGAATATGAATGACCTAAATTTATAAGTGTTTTAGAAAGTAGAATGTTATGCAGGTGAAAGGCATCATTATCTCGTGGACATCTGAACTTACAAGATGTGTATCCCAAGTATGAATAAGATGAGTTCTAAGTAAGAAACTAGGGGCCTTTCCTCATTTAAGGGACTTTGGAATGTCTGCTCATTCTAAGGCTTTTTTGTTTTGTTTATTCTCAGGATTTTTCATATGGGTGAGCCAGATATGTAAACCCTAAACTCTGATTAATTTGAGATTTTAGATACTTTGTTATGTTATAGTATCAAATATATTATGTGATAATAATTCTGAAATAGTTTGCAGACAATATTATGTATAGAGTTTAAGAAACTTTTCAAATATAGAGCTTGATACTTAGTCCTCTTTCCTTCTAGTAGGAACTTAAAAAGAGAGAGCAATTTGTCCTTAAATCCTAAATGAATTTTATTATATGCCAATTAAGACTACTGACTAGTTTTCCCTTGCAGAAGACTGCAGCAAAAATGGCCTTTTCCATAAAGTCTTCCTTGATGCTCTGCCTACACTTCTGACCCCTCCCCAATTAAGGAAATGCCTCTATTTTTTTTTTTTTTGATGTTCTCTACACTCACTTCCTTTCATGTAGCACTTAAAGATACTTTATATTATAGTAATTTATGTGCTTATCTTAAATTCCATTGTTGATGTAATACTCTTTGCTATCAGAATCCATTTACTCATTCATTTTTCTATCTTTCATTACATGCCTTTTTGGTGCTCAATTTTTTAAAACCAAAAAGAGTAGCATATTTTGTTCTGTATATATATCGTATGTCCTCCTCTTCTCTTGTCCTGTCACTTCTTTTGTTCTGTCGTTTCTCTTGCTTCTCTCCACTCTTGTTCTGGGGAGATAGAACTACTTACTGGTAGTGTTTTGATTGAACTTTGTTGAACCATAAGGAATTGTTGATCTTCAGCCATTTTTGACTGCACTTTCATATGATTCAACCCAATGAAGCATGTGCTTTAAATAATTATGTATTCACTGTATGTTAATACAAGTTCATATTCTCTAGTTTTCTAAGTTTAGTTTAAATTAGAAAACTTCAAGGAGTTTTTACATATTTGAAAGAAATAATTAAATTCTTCTTTGGAATGTAGAATAGAGAAGGGTTTAGTATGGTCCTTATTACATTGAGACTCATTGTAAACATGGATTGTGCCACCCACAAATATTAAAGTGCACATTCTTTATTGAGAACTTTATTTTTAATAAAAATATGTAATAGAGTTTCATGTTCAGAATTTAATGTAGGCTTTGGGAATCAAATATGACTAGACATATAATCTCTTTTTTTTTTTTTTTTTTAAAGATTTTATTTTTTCCTTTTTTTCCCCAAAGCCCCCCGGTACATAGTTTTATATTCTTTGTTGTGGGTCCTTCTAGTTGTAGCATGTGGGACGCTGCCTCAGCGTGGTTTGATGAGCAGTGCCATGTCCGTGCCCAGGATTCGAACCAACGAAACACTGGGCCGCCTGCAGCGGAGCGCACAGACTTAACCACTCGGCCACGGGGCCAGCCCCTAGACATATAATCTCTTTTTGAGTTTGCTCCCTTGGAAAATTTTACATTTAAATAATCTGTTTTGGAATATTTTATTCTCTTTTTATTTAACTTTTTTAAAGTTAAAAGAATAATACATACAAAAGACTTGACAATTAAAAGGAAATCTCCCTTCTACCCCAAATTGCCATTCCTTTTCCCCAGATACAACCACTATTAACTTCTGAGCCTTCTACGAAGTTTTCTATACATACGGAAGTGTGTATCAGTCTCTGAATTTCCCCCCAATTTTGTTTTATATTCAACACACAAATGGGAGAATACTGTGGATATTGTTTTGTACTTTGGTTTTGTTTTTTTTTCACCAATTGTTTTCTTGTAAATCTTTACATATCAGCACTTAGATTCCCTTCATCTTTTCAAAGCCTATGTAGTATTCTAATCTATTATGTTCTAGCCCATTATGTAACATAATGGATAGAGCACAGTGTGTTCTACCAGTTCCTTATTGAGAGACATTTTGAGTTTCCAGTGTTTTGCTTTGTGAAAAATATGGTATTGAACATCCTCATATGTATGTAAGCGTTCTATAGGATAAAGGCCGGTAAGTAGAAAAGACAGAGTCAAACATGTGGACTTTAGATTTTGGTAGAGAATTGCAAAATCATTCCCCACAGAGGGAACACAATTTATATTCCCAACTATGTATATGAGTGTTTATTGTTAAATAGTTAAACTGGACACTCAGAGGCATATATTATGATTAAAGCGATGTTTGTCCTTACCTAGGATGGATTTTTCAGGATCTCAATAAGGTTTATTTTTCAGCTATATTTCTACACTCAAGCATTTGAGTACTTACGGTAACAACTCAGTAGCAGTAAGTTAATCATAATGAAACAAACATTATATCTCTTAAATTTTAGGTGTTGGTAACTCAAAACGACTGTAAGAAGCATGTCTGTATATATTTCGTATCTTTTTAAATCATAAAAAATAAAAACTTAGATCAGAAGATATAATCTTTGCATGTATGGTGATTCCCTTCTTTTGAGGGAGGCACGGTTCTTGTATATTTATAAATAGAATAGTAAACTTCAGCATATATAAAGTGCTGAGTAGTAAACTCCAGATGCAAAAGTGCAGTTGTGAATTTTTTGTAAATTCAAGATGTGTACTTGTCACTCATTGTTTATTTTTTAAAAATTCAAGCGCTCCTTTAAGTCCATATCCTGTACCATATACTGTACCATCTAGTATAGATGTTAGATGATAGGACCTAGTCCTCTGTCTCAGCTTTTCCCAAAGTGTGTCCCTGAAATGATAACAGATGACAAAAGGATTCAACCATTCTCTAAACTGGAAAAAGCTGGTATAAATCAAACAGATTTTTTTTAATGCTTTGTCTCAAACTCTTTATCGTAGTACTTTGCGTTATAAATCTCTAAGAACATGTGCTGCGTTAAAAAGAAAAAAACGTATTTGACCCCGAACCTTGTTTCCACAGAGCTGCTCATGAGTAGTGGGAAGCGCTAGTACTTGAGTTCTCTTTACCTCACCAGTAAGAATTGTCCAGCATCTGTTGAATGCTTTGAGTGACACTTTATCAAGAGATAGCCTCTTATTTATTGTGGGATAGCATTATTAATTCTAACATAGACTGAGCTAGAATTTACTTGCCTATAATTTTTATGAGTCTGTAGTCCTAATTATATATATTATGGTTTTATCATACCCATAATTCATTTTCTTCTTATATACCTAAATTATTAGACTTTCTAAATGGCTTATCTATTTGGTATAATACTTTCCTTCATTTTTTTCCTTCAACTAAGCAAAATTATATACAGATTGATATTTCCAAATTTGTTACCAATATTGATAATTCAAAGTGAACGTAAAATGAAGAGCTTAGGTTTGGGTTAGGAAAATTGCTAGAAAAATGGAAAATGAAAAGGAAATATCCTTTAAAAATATTCAGTATTTTCTTTTCGATGCTACGCCAAACCAAAAGAGCGACAGTTCTCTAAAGACTATTTTAGCTTTGGTAAGGGTGAGATATTTTTGCTTTGACAGACTCACGTGTTGGTGTATCACATTCTTAAAGTCTGTGTTGTGAGGTGTTGTCCTGCAGTTTTAATGAAGCTGTTTCCTTTGTTAGCCAAGTATCATTATCACAACATGGTAAGAACTCTTTCAGCAGTTTTATAAAAAATGTTAAAGAAGTAGAAGTTGTACATCCAAAGTTGAATAACGTCTCTAAGCAGATCTTGAAAATAGCATAAAATACTTTGAAAGTTTTATACTTAGATATTTGGACTTTTAATATTTGAAAATAAACTTCAAGAATCATCTTAGTAACTTCATTATTTGTTATGCCTCAGTCCATCATAAACTTTTATTTTTGCTCCTGATCTCTCACATCTATATTGTAGGATAGATAGTCTTTGATCAGTGTTTTTCTTTGGTTCTTGTACTTTTTTTAATATAGAAATGTATATTTTATTTTTTTCCTTTTTAGGGGCTGCTTTCTTACCTCATCATTGATAGGCACACTTGCACTAAGCCTGACAATACCTCTGTCTATAATAGCTGACATGTGTATGAAAAAGGTAAGACTAACTATTTATTGGATATTAATTTAGGTACATTATTAAAACAGGGCTAATGAAAGTTAAGGGATGTGAGTAAATTATAAGGGATATGACCATGAATAATACTTGATGCCTTCTCTCCCAAGGTGCTTTACCACATAGAGATATAAAAAGTACCAAAGAAATAGATAATCTCTTGCATTTTTAGCCTTTCAATTTTTTTTTCTCAATTTCTAAGTTAAGGGCAGTATCTTTATATGTAGTTCTCTGGTTTTGGAGCTGATTATGTTCCACATGTTCTTTGATAAGTCGGTGGTGTGGGTAGGGGATGTAGCTCATCGTATATGAAGTACTATTTTGATTTCTGAGGTAAACTCCAAAGGTTCTTCAACGCTATGCTAATACTACTACAGATACGAGCAGCACATGAATACTGTTGTTTCTCAGCGAATGCACATTTCTATCTGGACTCAGCAGGGCAGGTGCTTCTTCCTTCCTTCTTTGAAGTCCTGGTCTGGATTCGAGGATTCTTGTGATAAATATTGGCAATGATAACATTGCACAAAAGGGAATCGGGAGTGTCCCTCACTGCAGCCTGAAGGGAGGAGTTTCTTCAGCGTTCCTAGGGGTAACAGGAAGAAAAGAAGTGTGCCATTGGCTAGCGCCAGAAGATGTAGTGTAGCCATTTATCACTCAGTGCGGTATTTGTAAGCTTTTAACTCCAGGTATTAAGTAACAAAATGGTATGTGTGTATATTTTTAGTATAATTGGACGACTCAATACTGGAAAGCCCAAGGGCTTATAAGGTGTAGAAATTATAATTAGATTTTTTAAATTTACTTTATTGAGGTCATATTGGCTTATAACATTGTGTAAATTTCAGATGTACGTTATTGTGTATCAGTTTCTGATAGACTGTGTTATGTTCACCACCAATAGTCTAGTTTTTATCTGTCACTATATATATGTGCCCCTTACCCCTTTCTCCCTCCACCAACCCACTTCCCCTCTGGTAACCACTAATCCCTTCTCCTTGTCCATGTGTGTGTTCACCTTACACATATGAGTGAAATCATATGGTGCTTGTCTTTCTCTGTCTGGCTTATTTCGCTTAGCACAATACCCTCAGCGTCCATCTGTGTTGTCGCAAATGGCATGATTTTATCTTTATGGCTGAGTAATATTTCATTGTATATGTATGCCATATCTTGTTTATCCGTTCATCTGTTGATGGGCACTTGGGTTGCTTCTGCATCTTGGCTATTGCGAGTAATGCTGTGATGAACATAGGGGTGCATAAATCTCTTTCCATTGTTGATTTCATCTTCTTTGGATAAATATCAGTAGTGAGATATCTGGATCATACGGTATTTCTGTTTTTAATTTGTTGAGAAATCTCCATACTGTTTTCCATGGTGACTGCACCAGTTTGCATTCCCACCAGCAGTGTATGAGGGTTCCCTTTCCTTCATATCCTCTCCAACATTTGTTATTTCTTGTCTTGTTAATTATAGACATTCTGACTGGAGTAAATGTGATAGCTCATTGTAGTTTTTTTTTTTTAAAGATTTTACTTTTCCTTTTTCTCCCTAAAGCCCCCTGGTACATAGTTGTATATTTTTAGTTGTGGGTCCCTCTAGTTGTGGCATGTGGGATGTCCCCTCAGCATGGTCTGATGAGTGGTGCCATGTCCGTGCCCAGGATCCAAACCGGTGAAACCCTGGGCCGCCAAAGCGGAGCGCGCAAACTTAACCACTCAGACACCGGGCCGGCCCCTCATTGTAGTTTTGATTTGCATTTCCCTGATGATTCGTGATGTTGAACATCTTTTCATGTGCCTGTTGGTCATCTGTATGCCTTCTTTGAAAAAATGTCTGTTCGTATCCTCTGCCCATTTTTTGATCAGGTTTGCTTTTTTGTTGTTGCGTTGTAAGAGTTCTTTATAGATTTTTTAAATTAACCCTTTGTTGGATATGTGATTTGCAAATATTTTCTCCCAGTTGGTGGATTGTCTTTTCATTTTGTTGATGGTTTCCTTTGCTATGAAAAAGCTTTTTACTTTGATGTAGTCCTATTTGTGTATTTTTTCTTTTGTTTCCCTTGCCTGAGTGGACATGGTATTCAAAAAGAAACTGTTAAGACCACTGTCAAAGAATGTATTGCCTATATGTTCTCCTAGGAGTTTTATGGTTTCAGGTCTTTCATTGAAGTCTTTAATCCATTTTGAGTTTATTTTTGTGCATGGTGTAAGATAATGTTCTACTTTCATTCTTTTGCACATGGCTTTCCAGTTCTCCCAACACCATTTATTGAAGAAAGCTTCCTTTCTCTATTGTATGTTCTTGGCTCATTTGTTAAAAATTAGCAGTCCATAGATGTATGGTTTTATTTCTGGGATTTCATTTCTGTTCCATTGATCTGTATGCCTGTTTTTGTATCAGTATCATGCTGTTTTGATTACTATGGCTTTGTAGTATATTTTGAAATTAGAGATTTTGATGCATCCAGCTTTGTTCTTTTTTCTCAAGATTGCTTTGGCTATAATCAGATTTTTAAAGCTATTTTTCTTTACGTCTTACTACAGTTTTTAGGATGGAGGCAAAATACTCTCAATGATATGTGTCGTCTTTATTTAAAAAACAATGCTGTGGTGATATTTAACTTTGTTTTATGGTTCAGTAAATTCTTATTTATTTGTCATGGTTAAAACTGGAGATCTTCTCCTTAGTTGAGAATTATCTTATACACCATGCGTTTTCAAAGAATGTGGATGTTATGAAACACACATAACGCTAAAGTTACACATTTAAATTTTTTGATAGATTTAAATAATATCCAAGTCCTTCCACTTATCAGGGTCATAATCTTGAATATTAACCCAAATCATTCTAGTGAAACTGGGCAAGTGCTACTTATTAGAGGATTTTGGTAGACTGCTGTGTAAATGAACTTTACTGATATTTTGAAAATATCAGCTTTTGCAGATTTGAAAAATAAAAAATTGAAAGTTAATTAGAGGGATTTTTTTAAAAGAACTGTCACAGGGGACCCAATTTTATTAAAAGATTGTGTAATTTGTTTAATCAGATATTTTAAGATGAAGGCAAACACAAGAAAAGGGAAAATGTAGGTATATGTAATTGATTAGAAAAACATAGCCAAATAGTGTTTTCTTGATTGTCGTCATGTCTAGAATTAGGCAACAGTTAAATGAGTAGAGTGGGCCTTCGGTGGAAATTGAGGGTAGGAGGGAACCTTCTGGAAAAAGTGGCAGAGTGTGCCACAGAACTGTAGTAGAAACATGACAGGAGAAATCAACTTTCCTGGGGTTTTTTGATTCTGATAGCCAACTATATTTATATATAGTTTCTGAAATTTTAGCCTTCATTAACGTTATTTATTGTGCTTAAAACAAATTGGTTATTTTAAGCTATTTATAATTGATATTTTATGTAATAGGAAGCACCCCTAATCATATTCAGAGTTATGTTCAGGAATTAAACTTTTTTATGTTTACGTAGGCAATTTTCTTTGTTAATAAACCTAAGTTTTTTTTATACACAAGGAAAAAATCTTTCTCATACATCTCAAGTTCCTGTCTTCATTTTAAAAAATTGTCTTCATAGCTTGTTGGAAATCAAATTAGAATTTTTTTATTATGTGGCAACACATCAATAAAAGTCCTCTTTGCCTCCAAAAGTCATCTAGCGTTTTACCTACCTTTGTAAAGTTTGCTTTTTTTCAGTTATAAAATAGAGTTTTAGTTGAATATTTGTGAAATCATTCTATCAACAGTATCTAGATTTTCACCCTGAGCTCACATCTGTTGCCAGGCTTCCTTTATTTTGTATGTGGGTCACCACCACAGCATGGCTGCGACAAGTGATGGAGGTCTGTGCCCGGGAACTGAACCCAGGCTGCTGAACCGGAGCGAGCCAAACTTAACCACTACACCACGGGGCAGGCCCCTGTATCTATATTTTTAACTCTCATTTGTCATAACTTTTTCATACTTTTTCTGTCTTGGGTCATTTAAGTGCATCATCATGTTTCTGGAATATTAAGTATTCTGACAAATATTCCAAGAATATGTTATACCAATAATTTGATAACGGTATGAAGGCTTTTTAGTTTCTCTTACTGACTGCTCTTTCTTGGGTGTTCTTAGGCTGACTCAGCCTGAGTGTGTGTGTACCATTCAAGCAGGACGTGCGTGTTAAAAGTTGCCAGTGATTATCCTTGTGTTACGTATTGTAAGTCCCTCGTAAAAAACCTTGTTTTCACAAAACCCCTTTGCTCTGACTAATGGTGCTCGGAAATGGAATAGCATATGTTTCCCACCAGAGGGAGTCTTGCCTATGATTCTAAACTTTGTTTTTTTAATACTTCAAGAGGGCGAGCACAGTTTTCCTTCCCTGTTTTAAAAGATAGGAGTTACTGTTTCCGTCATTGTTTTGAGAGCAAACAACTAGTGTGTCGCAGCGAGTCTCAGTATTCATCCATGCAGGCCTCTTCTCTGACAGTTGTTTTCCATCCTTAGTCGAATCTGGATTGTAAAGGTAAACTAGTGAAAGGAAGAATGATTTTCCTTTTTTTGGTAACTTTATGGCATCTCATTTTTTCTTTTCTTGACAACCCTGATAGATGCTGGATTGGAAGGGCAGCCCTGGTGATGGGAGGGGAGGGTCTCCCGTTGAGGCCTGCCTTGCTGCTTGCCTTCTCTGGCTCACTTTCCTAGTAAAAGTATTCCTATTTCTAGTCTTCATTTTACTTACAATTTTCTTTTGAATTTTTCTCATTTGTTATTAGATAATCAGGTGAGTTTTAAGTATCAGGATTAGAATTTGTTGCAAATTGTTAATAAAAGGTTTGCAAAAGTTGCACTTAAGAGTTTTTATCTGTTTTTAGCGCTGTCTTAAAAGAACCGTAACATAACATATCACAACTATAGCATAATATAGTTTTTAAAAATGTGAGTTTTTGAAGATGACGTCAGAAGCTGAGGGGAGGATCACCTTGAGAGTAGGCAGTATCCAATAAAGAAGAACGGGCAACGTGGTGTGTCAGACAGAAGCTTGAAGCTTCCTAATTCTGCTCTCAGGTGTACTTTGCCTGCCTAATAAATGAAAAGCATCCTCTTGCCTTTCTTTTAGGCTGTTTTCCAAGCAAGAAGTATTTTTGTTGGTAAATTAAGCAAGTGGAATCATACATTGGAGTCCTAAATCCTTATATTTAATAATAGTGTACTTAATAATATGTTGTCAATACTTAGTATTGTCTTCTTGATGTTTTAACTTATTCTTGCAAGTTTTCATATGTGGAAAACATGTTAAAGGGGAAAATTATCTTAATTATAATTGTGGAGTTTTTTTTTATCTTTTATTTTTAGGTGCAGTTTTCTTGGTTATTTTTTGCAGGCGCTATCCCTGTATTTTTTTCATTTTTTATTGCAACTCTCCTATGCCATTATAATAATTGGGATCCTGTGATGGTGGGAATCAGAAGAGTTTTTGCCTTTATATGCAGAAAACATCGAATTCAGAGGTAGGTCTAGTTCCAATATAAATTTTTAAAAAATAGTGTTTACCATGGGGCTGGCCCCATGGCCCAGTGGTTAAGTTGGCGCGCTCCGCTGCAGGCGGCCCAGTGTTTCGTTGGTTCGAATCCTGGGCGTGGACATGGCACTGCTCATCAAACCACACTGAGGCAGCGTCCCACATGCCACAACTAGAAGGACCCACAACGAAGAATGTACAACTATGTACTGGGGGGCTTTGGGGAGAAAAAGGAAAAAAAATAAAATCTTTAAAAAAAAAAAATAGTGTTTACTAAATAAACTGGGAATCATGTTATGCTGGCCTATCTTTTAGGGATTTTGTGAAGAATTATTGAAACATTATAATTTATCTGTGTACCATGCCCAATAAAATTAAAATAATTTGTTTAGATCCTTTGGATGATCAGGTAGCTTCTTCACAACTACTTTTTTTTAAAAAATGTTTTGATTCACAGGTAAAACCAAAGTGCTTACTATTATGCTATAATGAATTTAAATGTAGAAAACTTTTACTGGTTTGAACAAAATTCGTAATAAAATATAACAACATTGCCTCAAATTTTCTTTTTCACTTTATTTTTAAGAGAGAGCTTTTTTTTTTTTTTTTGTGAGGAAGATTGTCTCTGAGCTAACATCTCTGGCAATCTTCCTCTATTTTGTATGTGAGACACCACCCCAGCGTGGCTCACAAGCAGTGTGTAGGTCCACATCCAGGATCTGAACTTGTGAACCCCAGGCTCCCGAAGTGGAGTGCATGAACTTAACCACTACGTCACCAGACTGGCCCAAAGAGAAAGCTTTTTACATTCTTCTATAAAAAAAACTTGGGACAAGTTGTTGGGAAATCTTGTTCTTGTCTTAGTTCCGACCTCACAGCTTCAGCCAGTAGAGTACATAATTTTTAAGAATTCCCTTCAACTCTAAAGCTTTCCTTAACTTTAGCCTTTTTTTTTAAGGGTTCCAGAAGACAGCGAACAGTGTGAGAGTCTCATTCCTATGCACGGTGTTTCTCAGGAGGATGGAGCTAGTTAGCTGTTGTCTGTGGTCCAGGTTTGTATGTTAGCTGGCATTAGTGTTGAATAAGGTTCTTATTCTTGTGTTACTTAAATACAGAGTTGATGATTTTCCATAATTAGTTGTTTGAGAGGCAGTACAGCCTAGAGGCTAAGGTAGTCAAACTGCATGGGATCCAATTCCAGCTTCTCTATGCACTAGCTGTGTGACCTTATGCAAGGTTCTTAACCTCTCTGTGCCTCAGTTTTCTTATTTGTGAAATGAGGTTACAATAGAACCTCCCTTGTAAGGTTGTTAGAGTTATTAAATACTTGGTAAGTTTATGTCCAGTAGTGCCTGACTCAAATGAAATGATCCCAAGTTTTAACTGTTACTTTTATTCGTGCTGAGGGTCATTATTTTATTTAATGATATACTTTAGAAAAAACATTTTTTCTCTGAGTATAAAAGTAAGAGAAAAAAATGTAATACTTTGCTGTATGTCCAGTCTTTTCTCTATGTGTGTGTGTTTTCCATAACTGGCACAATGTATGTACTCATTCTCAGACTGCTTTTTCACCTAACAGTGTTTCAAGAACATTTCCCCTTTTTTTTTTTAATTTTAGGAAATATTATCTTTTATATTTCTTACATGACAGAAAGAATATATCATATTTTGTTTCACTGAATGAATGCTTGAAGTAACACCCAACATATACCTTCAGCGGGCACAGAAACGATTATGTATTTATTTAGAATGAGAGATCACAATAAATTACTGGAATTCTGGAGATGGAGGTCCCTTTCTTCAGAGATGACTTTCCGCAGTTTCTATTGAAATGTTCCCTGGTGATGGCTGGGCTTCCCCTCTTCACCTGGAGCCCTGTCACCTCTTTTCACTCACGTTGGCCTTGAAGCCTACGTTTCATTATCTTCGTGGTAAATTCACCTCTGACTTCTTGTAGAAAGCAGCCAGCTGTCCTCTGCCGTGCACCCCCCTGCTGCTGTCATTCTCTCCCTGTCCTCAGGGAATCACTTCAAACTCACAGTCGATTCTTCTGATGGTTTCCTTCCTGTCTACGTGCCATGCTTGATGTCTCAGTTTTAGGCATCTTCAGTTGATTTCCCACTATGGTAGACGAGGACAGATTTCCTTGAAGTCCCTCCATCTCTGCTCCCCCCCCCACTTGTCTGCCTTCCAGCCCTATATCATTCCTACCTCCTCAGCATCCCAGGGTAGTTATGGCATAATTTTGGATAGAGCTGTAATCGTTATGACTGTAAACATTGCTTTTGCCTGAGCCATGTAGGATTGGTTGTTCCTGGCATTTCCCCAGTCTAGAGACCCTCTGTTACCACCCCTTGTAGAGAATTAACCTCAGATCTTCTGAGATGAAGAAGAGGCACTTGGCTAGCTGTGAAAAGTAAAGGGAAGGCATCTGAGTGTCTGACTGCTTTTTCTATGAACTGTGTACCAGTCTTGCTGCTTTTAGTTTCTTCTTCACCCTGCTTACCGAGGTATCTAGTTGTTCTTCCCCATTGCTAGCTAAGAGTTAGCTGCCATTTGCTTGTCTCCCCTCTTTTCTTTGTCCATGTGGTTTAGTCCTGTAAAAAAACAATCCCTTTATTGTCTTTTTACTAAGGAGTTGGGGACAGAGTGGAACTAAATATGTGTTTATTTTCCATCTTTAAATTAAAAAAAAATACCCCTAGTTATTCTTTAAAGTTTTTAATGCTATAGTTTATGCATTTTCCCTCTCTGGTATGCTGTACATTATTTCCGTACTCACACCCTACCCCCACGCAGGCAAGGTTTCAGTATTTTCAGAAGTGAGAGCTGGATAAAGGGGAGCTAGTGAAGACTAAAGAAGGTGGACTGCAGTAAAGTACAGGGGGCCAGGCTGGGTAGGAGTCCTCGTCTCAGCAGGGGTAATGGTGGAGTACACCGTGAATAGCACTGTTCTTGCATCATCTGTGGGTAGTAGTGGATGTCAGCTGTTGACATTGCTCTAGAACTTAACTTTCCTGAGTTCTTAGGACTCACCTCAGGTTTGAGTATCCAGTTAGGAAGTATTTGTTACTGTGTTTGATATATGTTTCAGTGTTAAGATAATTTTCTTCTTATAATACAAACCGTAGAAAATTAAAGCTATCACAATTGTAATCGAATGATGACTTTTCTGTTTGTTTTATTTTTAGCTTGATAATGGAACATTCTACAGCGAAGAGACAATCTCTGGCAAGTTTTTGTAGAAAAAAGTGTTTCAGTGCCTAGTCTGAAAAATAACAGTTTCAGTTCTTTGGAACTCTAAAATATATTTTCCTGATACTGTTTTCTTCATTTTCATGATGAAGTACTTTGCTGTGTAGCTGTGTGCATATCTCCACAGTTATAGGAAGCTCCAGTCCACCTGAAGGACCAACCTGCCTTACACATCTCAAGGAATTCAGCTGATAAAATAATTTGAACTAATCAAGGAATAAAATCTTAGTGTTCTGGAGACTTTATTTTCACATATTATTTGTTAAATGCTGAACTATATTATGAAAATGTTTCCCAGAAATCATTTAAGTATATAGATCAGTATTTCTTATAGTTAAAAAGCTAAAATAAGCTACCTATAATAGGTACGGATTATGATTTTAAGTTTTGTAAAACATTGCAAATTAACACAAAAAATGTTTAATTTATGCAACCAGTATGTTCTTACAAATTTGGTGGGACTTTAAAAAGAATATTTGAGAAAATATCTGGTTCACTTACACTACATATACTGTATTATCCTTTCATAGCATTAGGTGCCTTGTATTTTAAATCTGTGAAAAACCATGACAGATTTTTAAAGAGAAAGTATTATTGTAAAATGAAGAATTAAGTATTTCTAAAGCCTGTATTGCTGTAAATTTAGTTGATAAAATTGTGCTTAATTTAGAGTTTTGAAGAAATGTTCTCTCTTCAGTTAAGACATTTTCATAATGGGATGATTTAAATTTGAAGTGATAAAGAGTATTATTAAAATAAAATGTTTATATATATGTATTTGTGTATTACAGATCTATCAGTTGGTTTCTGATTTTTTTCCACATGTAAATGTGCCAAATTACTCTAGAACTGGGTACCACTTCTCTAAATAATTCTAGTTTTCACAAGTAAATTTTTAATGGTTAAAATGCCAAAGAAGGAAGGCAAGAAGAAATTGTACTTTAAAAATTACGTTTGAATTCTTTTCTCTGCCAAGCTTAAATTAAATGTAAAATACCCCTAATTGCAAATCTTAAACTTAGGTGTTATATATACTTATTGTGCAGTTGCTCCTGGACTCTACTCACTGTAGACATTGGTGGATGGACAGGTCGCAGGGTTCATCCAGGCTTTTGATTAATCTAGAACCCACTTCTTTTTCAAGTCTTTTGAGAATAGTTCATTTCTCTTCAAAATTTCTTAGCAAATCTGATTTTTTTAAAATTCTCTTTGCAGTGTTAGCTTCAGTTTGTCTTATTTACCTTTTTTAAATTGCTTTGGTGTTATCATGAGTCTAAAATGAAGTTTAGCCATCTTTCTGCCTGTCCTGAGACCTTTTATATTATATTAATTTAAAAGATTATTTGTTTATGATATTAAATTAGAAAAAACAGGCAGCTGCTCTCCTATTTGGTGCCACCAGTAATTCTTGTTAAGCTAAAAATAATACTGATTTTGTTAGCTTGACACAGGGTAAAGGCGTGTAAAGAAAGTGAACTTCTAAGGATTATTCTCTTCAAAAGAACTTAGCCGAGTAACGTTTCAGTTACTCAAAGACTAATTTTGATTGAAGTTTCTTATTGAGACACCTCTACTTTTTGTTTTTGCCCTTTCACAGTTCACCAATACTTCTCAGCAATTTGCAGGATGAAATAGTTAAAACAGTGGAGAAGAAATTCACATTTTGAATTATTCCGTAAATATGGTAGGGAAAGAGGTTGAACTTAGAATGTTTTGGTTGTTCATGTGCTCTGTGTTCGCAGGTCACACAGGATCCTGTGTCATCACTGAGGGTTCTGGAAGCAGTAAGCCTTAGTTAACGTGCTGGGGAGATCTTGAGGAGGTCTTCTTCCACTAGGCTGCTATATTTTTGTTTTTCAAAGAACAGCCTCTTCAGAGGAAGTGCCGTTAAATTGGTTACCTGAAGCGTGAATCACTGCAGCTTTGCTCGCCCCCGCCTCTTGTCTTTTCTCTCAGGTCTTTATCCGAATGGTTTTCATGTTTGAATACTGTAGCCATGGCGAGTGAGCAGTTGAAGACTTCCTTTCTGTGCCTTTGTAGTTAAGAGTTCATCTTCTCTAGAAATAAAGTTGCGGTGGATTGCTTCCTTTTGTTATTACCCAGAACTCTCAGTATCAAGGCCCTGGGATCAGGGCAGGCACATTGCAGGCCTTTGGAAATGTTGGGAAGAGATTATGTTCAAGTAACTGCTAATGACCTTGGTCCCTGTTAGAACGGTGTTGGCTCATGATTATATGTTTCTGAATCTAAAGTCACAAATAGGAATTTCTAATACCTTGTTTCAGTCGTCATCTTTTCTTCCCATACATAATTTAAATCCCATTATTGTATAATGTTTCAAATTATGACCTTGATTGAAAGAAGTCTGCTATTTTGTTGAAAAGACTTTCTGTTAGATGAACATCAGAATCTCTACTAAAACAATACTGAAAAATGAGGCAGCCTTAAAAGTGCATAGGTGAATGCTTTTGGGGGCTTAGAAAAGTCATTAGGTATATTTAATGCACCTATGCTTATTCCTTTAAATAAATTCTGATTTTTAAAAAAATTGATTTATTGGCTTCTGTCAGCCTGACTTAATTAATTCCTTAGATTGAACTGATCTTCCCCCTGGCAGCTGACGAACAAAGTTTATTGTTTTGAACTGAGCTCGCAAGGTTAAATGTGAGTGTTCTCAAAGGTATACGGCCTTGTTTCAGGAAGAATGCTAATGCCCATTTTACACTCAGTCATGCAGAGCCAGTTTGGGGGTGCAAGGCGGGGCTTCTCTGGAAGCTGAGGTTTTTCGTAAGGCACTATGGTAAGGTCTGTAGCTCTAAGCCTCAGTGAGCTGGTTGAAGAAGCAGAATATCTTTAAAGAAGGATAAAATACGAATTAATTAGAGTGTATTTTTTCCAGAATCATATTAGCAAATAAAGGAAATGTTATTTTTATTTTAAGCAATTGTAATTGTTATAATCCTGCTATGTTTGTCCCTACTTTCCTTTTGAGGTATTCTTTGTTACTAAATATTTTAGGAAGAATTCACAGAAATAAGAAATAAGAGAAAGATGAATATTATCTGTGACATCTTCAGATTTAACTTAGCTAACATATTGTATATTGATTTGAAGTTAGGGTTATATTTTAGTATGTCTGTCATTTACCAAAAATTCCATGTAGATAAGTTGAGGTACAATTACATAGACTTGCAATGTTGAGACCACCACATTTCCTTTTGTTGTAGTATCAGCCTCATCCGTCCATACAAAAATTAATAATACCGTGTTTCATAGTTTGCGCACTGTATGTACACAGGAAACTTCCCTTTAAATCGTAAGAGCCTTTAATAAGCTGGGGACAGAGGGGAGTACATTATAAATTAGAAGCAAATAATGACTTTTGGGAATTTACTGTTATATTAACGTGATGCTTTTTTGTTTTGCCATCAGGCAGGAGCATTGCATGATAATTGAGATCTTTATTTTAACGTTAACTCTTACTAGATTATCTTATTTTCATTCTGATTTTTTGGTTCGCTAAAAAAAATTGTGGTTTATATATCTTAACAACTAAGCACCATTTTAATGTCATTGCATTTTAAAAAACAAGTCTTTTCTATAGAATTTCCTATATGCAGTATGCATTAACTATTAGAATGTCAAATAACAAAGTCACTGACATCTATTTAAGGAAAATTACATAGGAAAAGTGATTAGTACTCTCTGATTAGGCTGAAGTGCTGAAATGCTAATGTGAAATGGCAAAATCTGCAATGAGAACATTTTGAATTTTTGGTAATGTTAATGTGATTTTATTTTTGAGTTGGGCATTTGGGATGGAGAAGTACTCAGATGAAGACATTTCCTTCATGATATTTTAATGTTGGGGAAAAAACCTTCAAAATCAGAACTTTTAACAAGGCTCTTCATGAAAATGTTTTTAATTTAATTTTAGATGTGATTTCTTTCTTAAGAGCTTCTTTTATTAACTTTAACTTAGATCCTTGTATGCTGAGCATTCAGTATTTCTCTACTTGGTTGTTTACCTACCTAGTTTTAACTGTGGCAAGTCATAGAGAATTTCAGTGGGTCCTTGCAAGGCAGGCAGGAGATTTCTGTCCCAAGAGTCTTATTTTTGACATGTGGTGAAAACAGATTCTTTAGAATCTTAGTACCTGTATTCGCTTATTTGGAATAGCTTTCACATGTTTTTTCTTATGAAAAAATCCACGGTCAGTCAGTAACATCCAAAGTGAAATTTTGTTGAAGGCTATCCTTGTCTTAATTATTATGGTATGAAGTATAATATACTAAGTTCCTTTGGCTTGTGTAGTAGCTGAGTGTAAAGTTATATATATTTCAATATGCTTCAAGTAAAGTTTCAGAGAGACAGCATGCTAAGCAGTGGTGGTTCTCAAACTTGAGTGAGCGTCAGCACCTGCTGGAGGGCTTGTGGGGCCAGCCCAGCTCTGATTGAGTGGTTCTGATTGAGTGGGTCTGCAGGAATGCCTGGCAATTTGCGTTTCTAGCAAGTTTCCAGGCAGTGGCGCTGCTGCTGGTCCGAGACCACACTTTGTGAATCTTTACCCTGAGGAAAGAGCACTAACTTTGAAGTTCGATTCCCCCCATTAGCAGGTTTCTGTGGGGGGAATTATTTAATGCAGGTAGGCCTACATTTCCTCGGCTGTGAAATGGAGTTAATGCTACCTCCCTGGGACTGAGGAATGAAATAGTGAAGTTGGACATGCCCAGCCCCGCGTGCCTGAGTGCTTGGTAAATGCTGATTCCCTCTGTCAGTCCTCCCCTCACTCTTCTCAAATGGAAAGTGACGAGCTAAATCCAGTGTCTTCTGCGTTCCTCTCTGATTCTGTGACTCTCAAAGTTCTCCAGTTCAAGAGACAATGCCCGGCCCCGTGTGTGTGCTGGGTGCTTTATAGGGGGAGTAGTAATAACAGTGATACTACCTAGACCATGGTTTTGGTTTTGGTTTTGCTGTGGTTAGGGCTTAGCATCTAAACTCTTTAATACGTCTTCAGTCAGGTTTATAAAGCAGTGTTGAAGAAGTTACATTCCAGCACAGTTTGAATCCATGCCTGGTTTATGGGGGCTGAGGGTATCAGATAAATGGGCTACTGTTTTCTGTGACTGACCTCAAAACTGTTTCCACTGCATCGCCTCCTAAAATGCGTGTTCAACATAAGTCGTTTTCATTACTTCCTTGATTTTCAGACAGCATTAAACGAGCTCCAAAACAAATCCAAGCTAAAAGTGTGAGCATGATTTAACATAGCAGCTAATTATTCAGTGTTTTATTTAAAAGTAGTCACTAGGGTATTCACTGTTGTAAATTTATAATCTTAAAAGTTGACCAGGCTGAAAGTATGAGGCTAAAATACTATCAGATTTTCTCATCCTTTAATTCCATCTTATGAAAGAGAATAACCGTAAGTAGGGGCCTTTTGTCTTCTCCTCACCATCTAGATCTGCTCTATGGTAAATATGGGGAAGAGTACAGTCAGTAAAAAGCGTATGTAACTAATTGGCTGTGTTTGGAGACATGTATGGAACTTGATCAAACTATCTGCATCCATCCAGGGTGCTCTCATTACACTGCTGACTGCTGGGTGCCAGCAGGAGGAGCCGGGGGCGTGCCCGGGAGGGCTTTCCTCACACGCTGGATCCTGTAACTGCATTTGAAATAGCTATTTTTAAAAACCTGAACAGAGGGAAACTAGAAAGAATGAAGGCAAGACATTGAAAATGCATGAAATATCTGATAATGGCAAAAAAAAAAAATCAACTAAATGCCGGGATACAATGTCGGGTGAAGTGCAACTAGTGTGATCTAAAGTGGATCCTAATACTCAAATTCCTCTTAGGGGTTAGGCAGCAATTCCTGTGTAGGGCCAGCTAGTTATATTGAGTTTTCATCTATAGTCATCCTGCTAAGTCCTTGTGAAGGTTTGTTTTGCATCCAAGATATTTCCTATACTAAAATTTTATAGTATAATCTTAATCCTCTGGCTAGTGAATTGAAGCTGAAGTCATCAAGTGTTGGCACACTGTTATTTGTATTTTTACATAAGGCAATTCTGCATCATTCTGACCAAGATGCAACATTTTAATTTTATCTGATAGGTCTGTATTGAGTAATCAGTAGCTATGTGCAAATACTCCCAGGGAAGTAGTAGTTAGTATAGAAATTATTTTATATGAAAGTCAGCTCAATTACCAGACCCAGGAGGCCAGAGGTAATGAAAGAGTACTTTAGAAAGATGAAATGTTTATGATAAATTAAGGAAACAGTCTTTTAGATACATTTTCCTTGGTGTGGATAATTTAATGCAGATTTTTACCTCGAATTTGTTATTAAACTTGATAATTTTATCCCTCCATCTATTTAATAAAATGAGTATTTTCACAACCTGTGTATTTAAAATTTAAAAATAATTGTAAAATTCTAATTAGTACTTAATGTTACTAATTCTGTTATAATTTAGGGCCAAAACTATGCCAGTTTTGGAGGCAATTTGAAACATTGCTTATTTTTATACTATATAATTTGGGAAAAATTATTTTATGGACAATGAGTAACCTAATGTAAAATATGTCTGATTTATATTAATACATTATTTGTGTAAAATCATTTGTATATTCTACTTATGTATTTTCTATTTCAGTAAAAATACATAAAAAATGCAGATCTATCCTTGTGCAAACAAGTATTTGATTTCTAAAGTTTCCTTTTATTAAAACATTTCCACTCATTGATTCTTTCATGCCTAGATTTCTAAGATGTAGCTCAGGCATTTGATGAAGTAGATCTTCCGCTGAACAACACGGTTCAGCTTTGAGAGACCGAACATTAAGCACAGTGAGTTGCAGCTTACGCATGTTAAGGTCTAAAGCCAACATAAAAGGTGAAATTTTCAAATAATCCACTTTTGGTAAGGTTCCACATAGGAGACTGCATTCCATCTCATAATGAGGCCTTTCCAGTGAGTTTTTTCTTCAGAGTTGGAACATCTAACAATATATTTACTGAGTATTAGAGCAGTCAGAGTTCCACCAAGAAAACAAAAACTACTTGAGTATTTTAAACAGAGAAAATTTAAAGCAGAATTTATTGCTCAGGTATTAGAAGAGCTGAGAGGACAAGCAAAAGGCTGAGGTAGCTCTGAAATTAGCAACAGCAGGAGGCCAATGCTAAACCTGGGCTGGCGGTGCAAAGGGAGGAAGTGGGGCAAAGCTGAAGGCCGGGGTCATGCACTTGAGACCAAACCACACAGAGAAGAGGAGGAGCCTTAACAGTTGTTACAGCTGGAGGTGAAGAAGGCAAAGAAATACTGTGGCTTTTCTTCTTTCTGCGATTGACTCCTACTGGCAGGACCGGACTGGAAGCCAGCGGCCACAGGAACTTGGGAAATGTAGCCCTTGGTTGTCAATTCCTCCGAGGCAGAGAGGAAAGGTCCAGCAGGCTCGGAATTGGCACAAGCACTAAGTAGCTGGCTTGCATTTGGAGGCCAGATTGTATGTAAAAGACGTGTCTTTAAACAACAGAATCACAGCACATGACGATACCACAGTACAGGAAATAGTCTGAAACCAAGATTGGTTTTGTCCATTTCAAGTCCACTCCAGGAAGAGGAATTAGGGGGACATGCCTGTCCTGGAGTCCTAGTTCTCATTCCCATCCCTCCTCCTCTACTTACTTCCCACTGCCCTCCTTTTTCTTTTCCTCCTCCTGTCAAACTGGGCTAAAGGGAAGTGTGAGCAGCAGTATTGCTTCTCTAAAACCAAACATAAGAGAACAGGAAAAATACTTTTTAGTGATAAAGAGGAAAATCACTAAAGCATTCAGGATAGTGTATTCATGGAAGTGTTGGGAAAGAAGAAGTAAGAACAATAACTTCTTAAAAGACATAATTATTAGGCTGTCTACACTATTTTTCTTTCTTTTTTCTTTTTGCTCTTCTGAATGACTTCCACTGCCCTGTCTTCAAATTCACTGATTCTTTCTTCCAGTTGATGTAGTCTGATGTTGAACCCCTCTTTAGTTCTTCAGTGCAATTGTTATATTTTTCAGCTCTATGATTTCTGTTTAGTACTTTTTAATATTTTCTTTGTGTTGAAATTCTCATTTTATTCTTGCATTTCTCTCCCAACCTTGGTAAACAACTTTATGACAATGATTTTGAGATTTCTGTGAGGTAAATCACTTATCATTATTTCATTAAGGTCAGTTTCTGGATATTTATCTAGATCTTTTGTTTGGAACATATTCCCCTATTTCTTTACTTTCCTTGTCTCTGTTCATCTCTGTGGATTAGAGAAAACAGCCACCTCTCCTGGTCTTGGCAGACTCATCTTATGTAGGGGATGAATCTCAGCTATCAGCCTAGCCTGAGCTCCTTGTTGCCTCCCAAACCTTTGTGATTGTCCAAGCCATCATCTTTTTTCTTAGTAGCTCCCAGTAGATTAGGGTATGCCCTGACCCGGCATTGTCCCAAAGGCATGGGAAATGCCCACGTGCCCATTCAGGCTCCAGAGAACTACTAATCATCTGCCCCGTGAGCTCCCTGATGCAGGCTGATTGGAAACCTGACCTTCCAGCAGCAGCTGGGAAAGTCAAGATGTTAGATATGTTGTCTAGCCCCTATCAGGGAGAAACTGGGAGCTGGGTGTTTTTGCTTACTCATTCTGTGCTGAGCCAGAGGGAAAAGTCACTGGGAGTGCTTGTGCACCCATATAGAACCATTTGTTTGTTTTGTGTGGTCCCGAGGGGCTGGTGAATGCTGAGCCCCATCAGCTCCCAGAGCTAGTTGATTTGAGAGCGAGTCCCTTGGGTGGCAGCCATAATAGTTTGGGTGCCAGATGTGTGGACAAGCTCCTTCCATGGAGAAGCCGGAGACTTGGTTTTATTGTTTGAGTGAGCCAGAGGGAGAATGAGGGGCAAGTGCCTGCTGACTTTTGGGCTTGTTAGCACTCGGATGCAGACTGAGCAGATGCCGGACCCTCGGGCAGCAGCTGGGATAGGATGCGGCCAATCCCTTTCAGGGAGAAACTGAGACATGGGCAATTTGCTTGCTCCGTCTCTGCTGAGACTGGAGATGTGGCTGCGGGCAGTGCTGCATGTCTGTTTAAAAGCTGGTGCTTTGTTTTATGTGGTCCTGTGGGACTCTGAATGCTGAGCCCTATTGGCTATCAGAGGTAGGTGATTTGTGGGCCTGTCCCTCGTGTAGCAGCCCTAAAAGTTAGGGCACTAGATGTGAGGTCCAAACCTTTGCTCTTCAGGGAGAAGCGGGAAGTTGAGTTTCCCTCCTGACGGTGAAGTGCTCTGCCAGGGTGGGGTTTATGGCAAGAGTGTTTCAGCCCTTCCTACCCATTTTGATGTAGGTATTTTCTCAGTTGCCTGATGTGTAGGGTGTGTTGAGTGTAGGAGTCGCTCAGCTACTTTCAGGATTTCTCTCAGAGGGAAGTGATCTGTGTGTAGCTGTATATTTGGCACCTCCATGGGAGCAGGGGAAGTCGGGAGCCTCCCCTCGCCCCGTCTTGGTGATGCCCTGTATGTGAGGTTCTCATGGGGCAAATAGCTCCTCCTGTGGGCTGCGCACACCTCTCTCTTATCTGAGCACCTCTATTTGAATCTTGCTGAACATCACAAATGTTTAATTTTAAAATGGCATTGAGGAGAAACACCTAGTATCACATCTAGCCACAATTGACCCAAATCACCTGCTAATGGAATCTGAGATATACAACAGGTTCTGCTTTCATAAAGATTAAAGAAGAAGCCTTAACAAGTAAGTCCCTGTACTTTCAAACAGAAAATAGCAGGTAACCATGCTTTTGTTAAATGACCAACCACTGCACCATCTCTATGTGTCTTGCATTATTCCAGGATCACCTGAGACCTAATCAAGATGAGGAGTCCTAAAAAAATTAATATGACTTTGGTGGGTGCATTTTAAAATGACTTTAATGAGGGATCAGTTTTCATTTCCTGGGCCAGAAAATATTTCGGGTATATTCCTGAAAAGAATGCTAATAGTTAGGTCTATATAGGGAAAGATAAATTACATGAGCATAGGCAAAGAGCCTTACGAGGAATGCACTCAGTGAGTAGTGTGGAGAATGTGATCAGGCGCTTTAAAAAAACAGCAATTATGAAAGTTCCATAAATGTAATGGAGAGAAAAAGACTGACCTTGACCAATAGTATCAGTCTGGGCTGCACTAAACCTGATATGAAAAAGTCCCGGAAGTTCAATTAGGTGCAATGAAACATTCAGTAATCAAAATAAGGGCATAACTATGAGACGGTTTCTTTTGGGTGCTTTTAATTCAGAACTATTACCCCTACTTTCTCGGATAGTGTTGAGAAACCACTCAGTCTTGGATGCACCTGTGTGAATCTGAATTTCCAATTCAGATAATTTTTCTTTTGACATTTATTTTAGATGGATTATTTAAAACCATAACCATGCATGAAACTATAAAACTGCGTGAAACTATTTCTCAATTCAGGTCCTGCTGAATACTAGTGTCTCACAAGATTAACTTAATGTGTGTTCCCAAAATTAAGCAAAACAAAATAAAAAACAAAACAAAAACGAAAGTTGGTTCCATGGTCGAATAAATTGAGAAACATGTTCCCGTTTTGCTGCAGGATCATGTGAAATCTTTAATATCCAATGTAAACAATGATTCCCTAAAGGGAATGAGGTCCAATTTGCAGTTTTCTTTAAACTTATTTATTGCTGATCCCCCCATTAGCCCTTGCTGTTTTGCTGCACA